CGAGGTTGGACCAACGTTCTGATAATGGTTTTAGGTAGTTTAATATGTTAGAAAGACTTTAAGGAGAAACTTTTATTAAGAATCATCTTCCTTCTAGGAGATAATAGTAAAAGAAAACATGTCTATAAAAATACCAGAAAATACCAAAAACGTGAACTTTTGCTAATTTTCATAGGTTTTAGGATGAAAGTTAATGAAATTATATGTCAATAAAGTAAATTAGTTACCTTTTAATAAATTTAGAAAAAAATATCCGGAAAAAATTATATGGAAATCGGTTTTTATTGACTTTTTATGATTTTTGGCCTGGTGGACCTTTTGGCGGAACTGCCCATATGTAGGATATATCTAAATATTTCTGTTTTATCATTCTGATTGTGCGATGAACGAATTTAAGCCAATGGAATTGTGTTGTAATATGACTTTTGACCTCATTGACATGCCCTTGTACCATTTGGAGTGCACACTTGCAGATCTATTTCCATTTGTCTATGAAGCAGAGCCGAACGAACCTGCTTGCGACTGTCTTAATTATAATTATGATTATCATTAATTAATTCTAATTAATTATAATATGTATTTAATATAAAATAATATATAAAATATTATTAATATATTTCTTCGCTATTGATTGTTTCTAGCTGGCTTGTTCGCCTGCTTTCCACCATTTTTGTTTGTGCCTGCCTGCCAGTTCTCCGTCGAAATATAGAAATAAAAGTTATTGGCCTTAAATTTACAAATTAAACCCAAAGCCTGAAGCCCATCCGCTTTATCATCTTGGCTCTCGCATGGCACTGAAGCTTACGCCTGCCAATTGAGAGTCGTGCCGATCGTGGCGGCATTTTAAGCCACCACTATGGATAATCTTCTGTTGAATCCAATCCCCAATGCAGCCGCTGGGCAGGGGAAAGCCTGACAAAAGCTGACAGCTGCCATGGCGAATGGAGCAGCAGTAGCAGCAGCAGGTGCATGCCACAGCTGGTGTGGTGGTGGTGTCGAGTGTGGAAACCGCAGGCAGGCAGGGCAGGGCAGGGCAGGCTGCTCCGGACATTTCTCATGGCAGTGCGATTTCTCTCTCTGCTGCTTAATTTTTTTTGTGCCCCCCTCTTGGGTGAATGCATCTTTTGAGAAATCGTCTGACTTGTCAGCGTCACAGTCACAGTCACAGTGCAACGGATTCGAACTGCGGACGACCCTTTCAACAATGCCCCCCACCCCCCACGCACACGGACACTCAAAGAACAGGACACAGTGGCGCAAGCGTCGCCGTTTATCAAATGCTTTGGAATGTTATGCGATGTGTGTGCCGCGTGCCCCGTGCCGTGCCTTTTACTCCTTCACAGCCTCGTTTGCCATGGCCCCCGCCCGCTCAGCGCCTCTCTATCACTCTCCCGCACACACTATTTCTCTTCCTGTCCCATTCAAGAAAAAGATGGCAGGACAAGCCTGCGAAGCCGATCCTTAAATGCACTTCCCAGCGTACAGTCACTTATTTTCTTGCTTGGATTTTGTTTTAGATATTTTATTTAATGTTTAATTGATTGGTTTGCCACTGATTTGTGGTGCCCCTTTCTATGGGGCAACTGGAAGGATCAGTGGATGCTGCTGCATTGCGAATGTCCTGTGCGAATCGTTGTACCCTGTGGGAAGGTATAAAAAGCGCAAATCAGCCACAATTGCCGCTGACAGACGCAAGCATCCTGCTTTGGCTTTTGTGTGTGTCTTGTCACAGGAGGTATCCATATGTTATCTTTGTGTGTGTCTCTGTGTGTGTGAGCGTCACTTTGTGGCTGTCTCCAACTCCTTTTCCTATGCCTGCTTGCGGGTGTCTGTGTGCGCTTGGCTTTGACATTATTTGTGCTGCAAGCTGACAGATTTTCGTTACGGCAGCATTAAATTGAATTTTGACATTGCTTTGCATACAAAGATACATACATATCGATATATACATACATACAGAGAGAGAGAGAGAGCGAGAGTTGCCCAATCTCCTTCCATATGCAGAGCAGAGTGGCTCCTGAACGATGAGTAGTGGCAGGATGGTGGTGGGGGTTGGGGGAACTTCTTGGGTTCCGTTTTGGTTTCGATGCCTGCCTCTCGATCCACTGCCAGTAAGCTCAACCAGACTGATAAACTTCTTGGTTTCCGTTCCGGTTTCGACGTCTAGGCTAAAAGTTAGGCAATTCCTGGTCAGCCCCTTTGGGGCTAAGCTCACAGGTCATTTGTGGCAGGACTTTGACGCTGCTGCTGCGTGGCCACCTTGAAAATTAATTTCTCACGTTTCACGTACAATTTGTATGGCCGGAAGCATTTTCAATCCGTTGTGGCTGTGGAGTGGGCAGGGAGGGGGCCCAGTGCAATAGTGGCCCTGGCCCCACGACTGCCCCCATTCCTTTCCTCTCGCTAATGAAGGTTTCATATTGCTCTTGTGTTGTTCTGCCTGCCCCCTGCCCCATGCCCACTGCCCCCTGCCCCTGGCCACTGCCTCTTGTGGCATGGCATTACCCAAGCACACAAATCGCCGCACGTACCAGAAGCTCAACTTCTCCTCCTCACGCCTTCACTTCTCTTTCTCCTTAACGGAATGCAGTCCAGGCACACGCACACGCACACGAACGCACACACACACACACACACACACACACACACACACACACACATATTCGCATATAGAACCCAGTGCTAGCAGAGCTAAAGGGTATATTGGCACAGAATATATACACTGCATGGGCAGCATAGCCCCCGGGAAATACAACTGTTATGTGTGTTATGTGTATGGGTATATATGCATATATGCTACTCCTATATATCTGCATATATGTATAGACTTGAGTATAGTTTATTGCAATTTATAGGGTATTCCCATAGTCGATATATTGATAAATAACTTTATTGCTTGTTTTGTATTTGGAGCGTGTAAAGTGATTTTTGTGTGTTTCGCCTCTACTTTTCCTTCTGCCGCTGCCGCTGCTGGCTTTGGTTATTAGCTTCCTTCCCTCCTTCCCTTCCCATCATCTTCCCAATGGGCTTCGTATTCGCATTCTATTTTTCTTCTCAGCACTTTGTCCGTTCGTGGTTCCCAGTTCCCATTCCCATTCCCCCCCATTCCCACTCCCATTCGCCAATTCCTCATTGCTACAGTTCTAGTCCTAGTTCTAGTTCCATTCCATTCCGTTTGCGTGTGTTTGGCCAAATTGCACGGGATTATGGGTCTTAATTTTATGATTGCTTCTTTAATCAGCCTCTGTAACTGCACGCCAATTATGTCCGGGTCCGTGCTAATTGTTTCTGTTTCCAGTTCCAGTTTCAGTCTTGGCTTTCTCCACCCCGACTCGCTCTCTCTCTCTCTCTCTATGGCCACCAACGCCTTCTGAGGATTGTTCCTTGTAATCGATGTGTGTTATTTGCGATTAGTCGAGCACCAAATGAGCTGGACAAGACTGACTTGCTCTTCGTGCTCTGCTCTGCTCTCCTCCACACCACTCCAGTTGAAGTTCTGCCTCTCCTGCCACTCATTTGTCTCTGTGGCAGAGGGGCCAGAGAGAGAGAGAGAGAGACAGGGACAACAGGCGGAGCTACAAGTAGACATAATGAATGCATGCTTAACCATAAAAAAATGTTGCGGCATTTTGTACAACCTGCAAAACAAGGCTGAGCCATTGGATGAATCTGGAATCTGCCGCCCCCAGGCGCGCCCACCACCGCAAACTACGAGTGGAGTGGAGAGTACATGCGAGTGGTTTACTGGTTGCTGCTTGCAACACATGCTTTCTCACTGTCTTCCCTGTGGCCTTCGCACAGTGGCCTATCCATCCAGTTCTAAGCAACAGCCACCAAAAAGGAACGCTCCTTTATGCGCAGATTTACAGTCAGCAGAGTTGAAAAATAATAATTTATTATTTATTTATTTATTTATTTATTATTTATTATTTGATTAGTTTCGGTATTAATACCATCACGCTTTCTTTCCCCACTGTGGCACAGTTCTTATGAGTGAAAAACAAGGCAATCAAATATTTTACATTCCCCGGTCCCCGCACCAATATAATTTTTCAACTGCAGGCTGGACTGTGTCGGCTCCTCAATCAGGCAACAATGCCAGGTCAATAGAATTCTGAAAATATATTTGATTTTATATTGATTTATATTTGATTTTAGGTTTTATATTGATTTATCTTTGATTGTAAATCAGTTCACTAAATTTGCGCAATTTCTCTAAATATTCATTTATGAATTTTACTTTAACAAAAAGGTTGCCAACTTGTGAAATGAATTTAAACGTTATACCTGCACGTCTATTTTCAACACTAATATATTTAGGTACTTATTTATTTAAACGTATTATTATTTTTTATTTATTGAATAATTTAATGGATTCTTAATTTTGATTCGATCGTTGCTTAAAAACTTATAAAAAAAATTACATTTCCAACATGGCCGAAACGTAACAGAATACACAAGAGAGTCTACAGAAAATCAGCAGAAAGATGATACAGTCCCCCGGTTGACCATTCCCACCAGGAGCTGCGGCTCAAAGTGATCGGCTCTCGCTTTCTGGGCCTCCTGGTACTTTTTGGAGCAGGAATTAAACGATTTTACCTATGATTTGTCCATGTAGATGGAAAAGCTGCTCTCATTAACTTCTCCATCTCCCACTGCTAGGTCAGACGCCAAAAAAAACTCATTGGGCGGAAATCGGAGACGGTGCAAACCATTTAATTTCGTTCGAACTCCATTTTGAATTATTTTCTTTTCTTTTCGTTGGCTCTAATTCCATTCCATGCCCCTCTGCACTTGGAAGTAATTCGCATGTTCTACTCGTATTAACCATCGATGGGCATCTTCCTCGAATATCTGTAGACATGTTCGGAAAGAGAAGACAGAAGGCCTAGATTTATATATATATATATATATATATTTATACTTATTTATAATAAGATAAACTATGTTCAACAAACGGCTAACGAACTCTCAAAATTCTTGTTGCTGGTTTCTTATTCTATTTCTATTGTTTTGATAACCAACTTTTCGCGGCCGTTACTCTCTCGCTATTTATGCACAATGATATTACGACTGATTATTATGTGGATTTTGCTGGTCCTTGGCGCTGGGTTGGCGCATGGCGGTGGCGGTGGCGGTAGAAAATGGCTCTGCAGCCGCACAACCTTCTGTACGCACGAGCACGAGAAGGTGGCGGGGGAGACATACATTATGGAGCGCTTTGAGAGCCAGCGTGACTGTCGGCTGTCGTGCGGTAGGTACGGCGCCGTGTGGCCAATGCCGACCGGGCCGACGATAAGTCTCTCCCACAGCCGGGTGCACTTTGATCCCCAGCAGATAGGATTCAATGTGAGTGCGCCCAGCGAGGCGACCAGGCTGTTCCTGCACGAGACACGACGCCTGTTCGTGGGTAACCTGCGCAAGGAGTGCCCCCGCAACTGCACTGTGGCCAGCGGCGCAAGGATCGTGATCGAGGCCACGGTGAACAGCGAGAGCCTGGTGCTCGACTGGCGCACGCACGAGAACTACAAGCTGGCCATCAGCTCCACGGAGACGGGCACCCTGGTGGCCATTCAGGCGACGACGGTGTACGGCGCGAGGCACGCCCTCGAGACGGTCAGCAATCTGGTGACGGGCAGCGTGACCAGCGGCCTGCTGCTGGTCAGCGATGTCATCATCTCGGATCGTCCGTACTACGCGCATCGCGGCCTGCTGCTGGACACATCGCGCAACTTCATCCCGCTGCGGTATGTGCGGAGGGCGATCGACGGCATGGCCGCCTCCAAGATGAATGTGCTCCACTGGCATGTGGTGGACGCTGAAAGCTTTCCGCTGGAGATCACCCGAGTGCCCCAGTTGCAGCTGTACGGCGCCTATTCGAGCTCCCACACCTACTCCCGCAAGCAGGTCCTCCAGCTGATGCAGTACGCCCGCCTCCGGGGCATTCGCATCATCATCGAGATCGCTGGGCCCGCGCACGCCAACAGCGGCTGGCAGTGGGGCCCAGACGAGGGGCTGGACAGCTTGGCCGTGTGCCTGGAGAGTTCGCCTGGGCGCCCCACTGCGCTGCTTCGCCGTGCGGCCAATTGAATCCCGTGAACGATAATATGTACGCGGTGCTGAAGGCGATCTTCCGGCAGGTGGCTGAGATGGGGGCACCGGAGGAGACCATACACATGGGCGGCCACGAGGTGCACACGTCCTGCTGGAATGGCACCGAGCAGATCCGCCAGAAGATGCTCAGCCAGGGCTACGATCTCAGTGAGGAGAGCTTCCGCCGCCTTTGGGCGCAGTTCCATCAGCGCAATCTGCTGGCCTGGGACGAGATCAATCGGCACGCGTATCCCAGCTTGCCGGAGCCCAAGCCGGTCATTCTCTGGTCCAGCCGGCTGACCAATCCGGACGCCATCGAGAGCTACCTGTCCCAGGAGCGGTTCATCATCCAGACGCTGGTCAATTCACACGACTCGCTCAACAGGTTGCTGCTGGATCGCGGCTACCGCCTCATTGTCTCCACCAGGAATGCCTGGTGCCTGAGCGACGGCTTCGATGGCTTCGGCTCCGCATACCACAGCTGGCGCAGCGTCTACGAGAACGAGATGCCGCAGTGCTCCGACCGGCGACAGGTGCTTGGCGGCGAGGTGTACCTGTGGAGCGAGTCAGTCGATCAGAACTCGCTGGAGTCGCGCCTCTGGCCCCGGGCTGGCGCCGCCGCCGAGCGCTTCTGGTCGAATCCAAAGGCAATGCGCGCCTACATGATAGAGCGCCGCTTCTATCGCTATCGGGATCGCCTGCTCGACCGTGGCATCCAAGCGGAGGCCGTGACGCCTCGCTACTGTGTCCTCCATGAGGGAATGTGCGAGCAATATTATTACGGGGATTAAATTACAATGGATGCCCTCCGAGCCCGCCTCCGAGAGAACCTTATTTGAAGCTGCTGTTCCTCGCTGCTACAAAGCTAGAAAATATATTTTTGGAATTGCAAACGTTTCTTCGCCGCTCCCCCGGTAAGGGAGGATCAAAAAAAAGGAAAGGTGCCGCCGCGACACTCAGGCACTCAGGCGACACTCTCTCTCGCTGTCTCTTCTGTTTCAAGGGAGAGTGACAGCAGTTGCGTCTCTCTTTTAAGTACCGATTATAGCGGTAAAAACTCAAGTTAAAAGCTTTAATCGTCGCGGCACAGCTTTCTCGCTGCCTTTTGATTGTTTTATAAAACAAAAACCGTGTAGGTAGCCTAATCAAGGAACACAGTCGCCGCACCGCACCGCACCTCAGCATGCTGCTGGCATGCGTGCCACGTTCTTGGTGGAGCAGCAGCAGCAACGTAGCCCAAAAACCTAACCCCAACTAATTATAACTTTGATGCAGTCGGTCGACCCGTAAACCTTTGAAGCGCTTTTACGCCGATTTCTCGTTTTCCTCTTTTTGGCAGCTTCAAAGTGCTGCTGCTGCTGCTGCCTCTGCTGCTGCTGCTATCCCTTCCCGCTGCGCTGCGCTGCTGCTGCGTCGCTTCCGCTGCTGCCAATGACAACGGGGCTGCCCAAAGACTAACAGCCAGGCGGGGTGCGCCCGTGCCCAAGTGCGTACTGGAGAGGCAGAGAGCTCAAGTCCAGCTTATCATCTTTGGCAGACAGAGAGTGAGAGAGAGAATGAGTGGGAGAGAGCGAAAGAGTGGGAGAGAGCGAAAGAGTGCGCTTTTAGGCGAATTTTCAAGCAAAGCGATTCCAAGGCGAATGTTTCGAGAGTCATTAAGTGAAGTTTATTAAGTGCCCGAGCAGATAACCCCAAATGAGTGCATGCCAAATGGAAGGCCAACGCAATTTCCACTCATATCGACGCCCCCTCCCCTAAACCAGCTACAGCTCACCCAACCGTCGCGATCCATCCCTATGCCTATGGCCATAGCTCATGCTGAGGGCAAACTTTCCCACAAGAACTCCACAGAGAGAGAGGGAGAGCGCAGTGTATGTATAAAAGCGAGATAACAAACAAATTGCCAATGCAATTGCAAACTTGAGATTATCGCCAGCCCAGGCCCAGGACCAGGCCGCCTCGTGCTTAACTTTACACAACTTAACCTAACTTGACTATAGTTTCAAGAGCCTAACGGGGGTCTGCGTTCGCGTTCGCGTCCCTGTCCTTATCGCATGCGGCTGATGTAAAAATAATTTCCATTGTTTGCCAAAGAAACTTTTAATGATAAGCAAGAAGGGCAACTGCGGCTGACCACAATTAAAATTAAAACTTTTTGCAGGTTATGGCATTCTGCTGACCGGAAGGCAACAATTTTCCGTGGGACACAGGTAGCAAGCAGAATAACAACCAATTTAAAGTTCGCGCCCACAATCGAAACTCATATCGATACTAATCGCCTTGCACAAGGCCAATAGCTGCTTGCCATGACACCCAACAAAGTTGGCACTAATTTTAACCACTAATCTGCCAACAAGTTGGCAGGCTCTACAAATATATATTATCAACAAATAACATATGTATATCGATATACGATATATTGATAATCAACCCTGCAAGACCCGCACGTGGAAATAATTTTGGGAAAACAACGCAATTAAATCCACAAAAAACCAGGACAATACAGAATGGAGGTGGAAAACATTAAGGTGGACGCCTTTGTGCCAGCCAAGAAGGCACATAAGCGCAGTGCCCAGGAAACGGAGATGCTGGTGGACGATGCAACAGAGGTTCTCGTCCCTTGCTCCACCCAATCATCGGCCCCACCTCGCGCGAAGCGGACCAAAAGCGAGCTGAGAAAGGTGTCGGTGCCGCCGCACAGATACTCCTCGCTCAAGGAGCACTGGATGAAGATCTTTACGCCCGTGGTGGAGCACATGAAGCTGCAGATACGCTTCAACATGAAGGCGCGCCAGGTGGAGCTGCGCGTCGGACCGGAGACGCCGGATATAGCTAATCTGCAGAAGGGCGCCGATTTCGTGAAGGCCTTCCTCTGCGGCTTCGAGGTCGACGATGCCCTGGCCCTGCTGCGTCTGGAGGATCTCTTTGTCGAGACGTTCGAGATTAAGGACGTGAAGACGCTGCGCGGCGACCATCAGTCGCGTGCCATCGGCCGTCTGGCTGGCAAGGGTGGCCGCACAAAATTCACCATCGAGAACGTAACCAAGAGCCGCATTGTGCTCGCCGACAGCGAGATTCACATCCTGGGCAGCTACCAGAACATCCAGCTGGCGCGACGTGCCATCTGCAATCTGATCTTGGGGTCGCCGCCCAGCAAGGTCTATGGCAATCTACGGTCCGTGGCCTCGCGCCTCTCGGAGCGCATGTGATGTTGGACATGCCCCTCTGGCTGTGATCCCCCATTAGGTTTCGGAATGGAAAAACTTGCTCTTAACATTAGTAATAAATAAATATAACATGTATTTAAGCCTTTACAATGTACACACAGACGACCAAAATGGTACTGGAATGGGGGTGTCCCTTAGAGCTTGGTGAAGATCAGCAGCAGGAGCATGAAGAATGTGATGGCCGCCAGCACCAGAATGATGCACATTTTTACGATTCTTGCGCTGATACAGCTCGGCCTTGTGCAGCTGTCGCAGACCCTCGGAGACCCGCGTCTGGGTCTGCTCCACATTGTAGTCGATGCGATCGAGCACGGTGCCCTGCTCCTGGACCATGTGGCCCAGGTCCTTGAAGATGTCATTGAGATCATTGATGGACTTGACAATTTTGGTCACCTCCTGCTCGCGATGCTCGGCCAGTTTGGAGTTCTCCTCCTCGAAGAGCAGCAACTGCTGCTGGGTCATACGATTGGCGGCCAGCGGCTTCTTGAAGTGATCGTCTATCTCCTGGTCGTCCTCCTCGAACAAATAGGCATTGGCCGCCCCCGCCTTGCCGTTCACCGGCTGCAGGAAGTTGTCGAACGAGTCGACAAAGTTGATGGCCTCGCCGCCTGGCAGGCCCATACCGATACCCATGCCGCCCAGCTCGACATTGGTGAAGTTGTCGCCGTTGTCAAAGTACTTCTGGGAGCGCTCCTCGCGCGAGTTCAGCTGCACCAGGTAGGCATTTTGGCTGCTGCGGAACTTGAAGGTCAGCTCCTGGAGCTGCAGCAGGGCACAGTGCACGGCATTGGCGGTGAGGCGCTGCTCCGTTTTGGTGCCCACGCCCAGGCTGGAGCGGACGCACTGTATGTGCCGGTGGGTGATGTGATCAGCTTGCACACGATCTGGCTGAGCACCTCGATGTCGCACTCGTCGTCCCGCTGATCATCGAAGGTCGGACGCGGCAGGTGCCGGGCATGCAGGGAGCCCAGTTCGTCCAGCTTTGGTTTGATTCTGTTTGAAAAGGGCAATGGGATGTTAGTGCATGGCACATATGCAAATTTGTTCGTCACCCACTTGGACATGGTGTATTGTGCCTCCTCAACTTGTCCAGCCAGGCGGGAGGCGTTCCATAGTCGTCCTGCATCTCGAGGCCCTCCTCTGCCTCACGCACCGAATGTTAAGCAGGCGCTCAGCATCGCTGCCACGCTGAAATTATGATTTTTCCCATTATTTAGGATGTCTTTGTCCATTATTTGGGAAGTTCATTACTCTGTCGTCGTAGTGATTTCGATTTTTTGAGGCATTGTTACGCATGATAACGAATACCTCCGTCAGGTTGCGAGACGTCATGGTGTGTGGTGTGGCATACGGCTTAGTAATAGTCAATAGTTAGCATTCTAGTGTCCTGACATCGCTTGGAAAAACCAACAATATGTGGAAAATTAAAAATAAGAATTTTCTAATATCTGCAAATAGTGTGACCAGGCATCAGAGCAAATTAAATACCGAGGCAGAGATACCGTTTTCTTTAGAGTGCTTAATGGGTTAAGGTTAATGGGCGCGTTCAGCAGGACAACTTGGCACGGAATGAGCAAGAATTTGCATACCTTGGGAAAATGGATATTATGGACTTAAGATATTGTTTATAATTTCAGGCTCCAATTAATGCAGAAACTACTCAGTCTCTGTTTTAAAGATATTAACGAAATTAATAGGCATTAATAGGTAAAAAACATGTCAATCTAGGATAAAATCATAAATAATGTTTCAATGGAGCTTGGAACAAAACATTTAACATCAATTAAAATAAATAAGGTATAGAAAAGTACATACGCAGAGAAGAAACTTGGTTGACCAGCAGTCAACATTTACGTTTTATGCTTTGGCCGTTTTTGTTTGAACCTTTTTATGTAAGCAATGATATAAGAAGGACTTCTGAAAACTTCCGTTCTTGTAGAAAATATATGTATATCTATCGGATAAAATTGTTTGTTTTAGAGTTAAAAGGGCCAACTAGCTAGTAATATTAAACGGAATATCAAAAATCAACGAATGTCAACGTTGAATAGTTTGAAAAAATCAGTCGATACTATTGTAATAATATAGGCTCAAATAGTATTAAATAACCATTGAAACCTTTTAGGAACTTGTCATTGTAAAAATTAGATGCCACCTACTCGATTTGTTTACGAATTCTTCGTATTTGTAGCGCCAATCCATATCAAAAGCGCAACGACTGTAGCTCGATACTATCATGATAGTCGCAAAACTGTCGATAGTAGAGGCTAGCAGCAAAATATCGATACTATCGATGATACCCTCTTTGGTTTGACACCTCTCTAAACACAGTTCAAAAACATTACATTACATTTATTTTTTTTATTGCAATAAATAAAGTGGGCTTGTTGTTTGTGCCAATTAAGGGCAGCTCAAACCAGTGAAACGTTGGCATGCCCTAGCATAGTTCTTAGCCTAGAAACAAGTGACAGGTGCGACAAATTGACGAAAAGAAACTGCAATTCATTCTCGGGTCAGAATTTATGACTGCAATTGCGTGTGTGTGTGCGTGTTGCCTGTATGTGAGTGACGACATTGGCAGCAGCGGCAGAGCCTCCTCCCACCCCTCCTTGCAGCGCAGCACAAGGGAAAAGGAAAATGTGCCATGTTGTTGTTGCTGCTGTGACTGCTCGTCCAAAGCCTGTGGGTGTGGGTGTAGCCAAGGAAAACTAAAGGACGACGCAAAGAAGAAGCAGCAACAGCAGCAGCAGAAGACCGAAACGAAAGATTTGGAAAATGTTTAACCGTCAGGGCAGTGGAACGGGCAGTGCCGGACAGTCACTCGGGCATGGGCACAGGCTTCAGGCCTGGGCACGGGCTCGGGCTCAGGCCGGGAACGTCCCCAGGCCCACGGTTCAGGTTCTGGTGCTGGTTCGGGCTCTGGTACCACCACCACCACCACCACCAGCAGCACCGCCAACGCCCCCACACCCTCACCCGATCTCTATCTTCGTCGTACCCTATCTGGACGGCAAATGGCTGCGCGCCGATCTCATTTCGTCCCCGCGCAACGCCTCCGAGGGCGCAGTGCTGTGGAATCACTTGATCCCGGACTGCGAACTGGTCTCCTCACCCTCGGCCGCCCTTGTGAATGCACGCGGCCAGCTCTCCTACCTGGGGGACAATGGCAAGCACTACCTGCGGTCCCCAGCAGCTCAAGTGCTCCTGCTGCCAGCCAGATGCTGCAGCCCCCTGTCCGCCTGCAACTGCGACAGCTGCCGGCCCCTGGACTCGGACACGGCCATCAAGAAGCTGACCTCAGCCACCACCCAGCAGGCAGCCCGCCCACAGCAGCCAAGCCACCAATCTGATTCTCAGCAGCTGGCTCTGGAGCCAGCCGCCTGCCTGACCACCGAACAGGACTGCCAGCGCACACTGATCGCCGAGCTGCAGGAACTGGCACTGCAGGCAGCCGGCAACTGCTCCCCGCCCAGCATGTGCGGCAGCAGCTCTCATCTGCGAACGCTGCTATGTGGCCCTGAAGCGCCATCGCCAGCAGTCGAGCAGCAGCAGTAGCGCCGCCAGCGGCACAGCCAACGCCATCGCCATAACAACGACCATAAGCAACGCCGTGGCAGGTGCTGCAGCTGCTCCTGCCGCCGCTGCTGCTGCGGCTGGCAGCCTGGAGATGCCGATGGTGGATCCGACCAGCCAGGAGGCGGATCAGCCGGATCGTGCCGCCTGGGACTGGCACGCGTGGCCACGCGAGCGGCACTCAACTTTAGTTTTGCCTTCCTGCGTCGTGCCTGGCGCTCGGGCGAGACACGGAGATGTGCAGCGAAGTTGTGAGCGAGGCGCTGGAGTCGCTGCAGGAGCTGCCCGAGGCGACGCTCTTCGAGGCGGCCGAAGTGTCGCCGCTCTGGATGAAAGTGATGGAGCGCTCCATAAGTTCCTGCGCCTGGTGGCCCTCGGGGATCCGATGGAGGCCATTGTACGGCGCCGCTGAACAATCGCCCACAGCCCTCTGTCTGCTGCTGGAGCTTGGCGTGCAGAAGGGCACGTTGGCCGCCAGCCTCGAGTGTGTCATGCTGCTGCTGGTGCTCTGGGAGAAGGATAAGGCGGGCAACGACAACCGGGACATGCACAGGAAGACGGGCGCCCCGTTGCTGCGCATTCTGCAGCGCTACCAGCGGATCGGACACACAGCCAAGGCTGGGGGTCTGCCAATAGCGGCGAGTCCTTGTCGCTGCCGGTGGCGAGCGCCACCGAGACCTTTCTGCGGTTCCTCATGCTGCCGAGGCGGTGCGGCGATTGTGGATCTTCATCGTGCCGCTGTCGTCATAATTTCCCACTTGGATCAGCCTTGTCCAGCCGCTAATGCCGCGATGTCTCCCCGCCGGACACTATGCTCGTCCACTCTCATGCCAGCGCCAGCGCCAGCAGCAGCTGCAACTCATCCTCGCCCCGACAGCGGGTCTATGCTCTGGGCTGGCCCGGCCTGTTCAAGGAGCGGCACGGCTTCAATGCCGAGCCAGCCCTGAGCTGGAGCAGCAATCCCTCCACGCTGCCGCTGCTCAACTGCAAGTTCCCAGGTGCAGCAGATAGTCTGCAGCGAGAGCACGTGCTCATCCTCAGCGAGAAGGGGAAGCTTTGCCGCTGGCGGATATTCGAGCCGGAGACGGAGCCGCAGCTGCTGGAGGAGATCGCCCACGAGACGATTGTCAGCATTGCCGCGCACTGCGAGGGCCGCCACTTTATGGCCATCGATATTAATCGTAAGTGCAATTTGCATGCCCGTCATTCGTTCATTCCCTTCTAATCTGCGTAATCTGGACGTCGGACAGGCAACGCATGTTCGTGAGCGATGGCGAGGATCATCGCCTGGGGCATGGCAACACCCATGCCCGGTCCACGCCCGCCAAGATCACCACACTGGATCGATGCGTGAAGGCTGTGTTCTGCGGCTGCTCCCTACAGCGCGGCCATCACCTGCAGCGGCAACCTGTACACCTGGGCCGGGCGCCTACGCCCGGCTGGGGCATGGCAACTTCGGACGACCAGCCGCTGCCCACCGTTGTGCTGGCCCTCACCGAGCACGAAATCATCGATGTGGCTTTGGCAGTGGCAACGCCATTCCCTGTGCCTCACCTCCAAGGGTCATGTATGCCTGGGGCGATGCCGACTACGGCAAGCTGGGCAATGGCAATTGAACGGCTCCATGTCGCCCGTGCTGGTGGAATCGCTGCCCAAAGTGCAGCGCGTCTTTGCTGGCGCTCAGTTCTCGCTGGCCCTCACCACAATAGGCAGCTCTACAGCTGGGGCAAGGCCGGCTGTCTGGGCCATCAGCTGGTGGAGCGGAGTGCGCAATGGTGCAGCGTACCCAGACTGATCAGCGGTTTGCAGGTGAGTGTCTGCATCTAATCTGGTTTAAATCATCGAATTTCCACACCCCCACAGAATAGAGCTGAAAGATAAAATCAAATTTAAATTCAAATACGATTAAATCTACAATCAATTGTTGTGCCAATCAGATGGGGATCCTATCGATTGCAGCTGATCATGCCCATATCGATAGCACCCATAAAATACACGAGGGGAAACTCTTGCATATCATCAAGTTTTAATAAGGGTAGTCTGTAAAGTGCATTCTGTATCCACTGATGATTGATGATTGATGAGCCCTTATGTCTCCATTTCTAGCGTAAAAGAATTGTCGATGTAGCTGTGGGCATCCCCGCTGATTGGCCCTCTCAGCTGCGGGGAAGTATTCGGCTGGGGACGCAACGACAGCCAACAGATATGTCCTTCCTCCGTTTCCGGTGAGCCGCTGCTGCGCATGCCCGCTACTGGTGGCCCTGCCACGCTGGCGAGCGGTGTGGCCTGCACCGCCGCCAGAGCTTGATCTGGACCCGAAGCAGCCGCCAGGGTGTGCCCGCTGCGCTCCCCTTTGTGATTGACCCGGAGAGCCGACATTCCGGCTGCTCGACCAGCTCTTGAGCGTCTAGCAGCCAGGACAACCGGCAGACGCCCAACCAGAGTCCGAGTGCATAGCCGTCGCCTGTCTCAATCTCGTGCGGCTGCAGCTGCTACGCGCTGATCACCAATGGCGTGGAGCCGCGCCAGGTGGGCCTGGCCAGTGGCGGCCGGCTGCTGGGCAGCCTCAAGAGCCGCATCCTGAGCCTGGCGGGAGGTAGTCAAGTGCTGCGCACCATCCAAGTGGCCACCGAGCAGGCCCTGCAGGGTGATGATCCTCTGGATCCCGTTAAATCCGTGATGATGTCTCCCCGTCCTCCGTGCTTGTTAGGATGGATGGAGTGTGTTGCCGACGGCAGCGGAGCGTGCCCAGACATCGACATCGCTGCTGCCTCGGAGCCGAGCAGGCCTCCTGCTGGGCCACCGTTTCATGACGGATCTGCTGGTGAGCTCCCTGATGGCCGAGGGTGGACTGGAGGTCGGCGCTGCAGCATGCCATACGTCTCGAGAGCCGCTCCTATGCAGCTGAGTGCATGGACGGGATCGATCTGCCGCTGATGCAGCTGATCACGCGGCTGCTGGGCAACAATGCGGCCCTCACCCAGACGCGTTTCGCGCCCACCCTGGGCGGCAAGCAGCAGCAGCGTCTGCTGCAGCGTCGGCAGCAGGAGAAGAAGAGGATAGGGAGCATCGCCATGCAGGAACCCAGCACAAGTCCCAGTCTGAGTCTGTTGCATCGCTTCCAGCGCCTGCTGCTGGCCCACATCATCAGGCCGATCGAGGAGGATACCACGGGCGCCGAGGCGCTGCTCGACCAATATTGCACAGCCTGATCCCCGCCTGCGTGGCCACGCTGCCAGCAAGCCCACGAACTGGCCCTGCAGTGCCGGATGCAGGCGATCATCCCCCAGCCAGCAGGCGCGTCACCTAACGCGCATCCTCAGGCGGACATCTCCGATGCGCTGCTGCACGAGCTGCTGGTGGGTCTGGTGCTGCTGAAGCACGACCGACCCCAGTGCCTGGGCAGCCTGCGCTGGTCGCGACTCTTTCTGCCCCTGCTCGCATCCTGGACAGGCTGAATCGAGCGCTCGGCGAGGGCGAGCTGCGCGATGGCGACAACATGGGCTGGCCGGGTATTATCTCCCGTGGCGGACCCGAAGGCGGACCCCCGCCTGCCGATCCGGAGACGCACTATGTCGACATCCGGTATGGAGAACCAGCTGCTCGACGGCAGTCGCTGCATCGTTCCTGACGGGCTATGTCTGTGACCTGAGCAGCTACAAGTGGTAATCCAGGCAGTCCGGATCCCAAAGCCAGAGCCGCTCTTTCAGCTCCCTTTCCCCTTTCTTGTGTGACAGCTACAAATGGAGACGCTGAAAGGCCTGCTGAACACGGGTCTGGGCAAGGATCTAACAGCGGAGATGAGCAGCCAGCAGGCGCACAGGAATGCCATGGAGCACGTCCTGCAGCATCACAAGCTGGGCAAATACATGGCCCAGGCCACCACGAGGAGAAGGTCAATCCCCTGCCCCCAATCTCTGAATATCTCTTGTGTGACTTCCCGCCTTCTGAGCGCTTCGCCCAGTCCACACGACTCACCCACTTCAGTTCGGAGTGCACGCTGGCCCAGCTGCTGGGCATTGTGGCCGATCCTGATCTGCAGCGGTCCCGCGCTGCAGCCGGCAGAGCTGCAGTGCCGCCAGCTGGACGAGACGCGCTGCTGAGCAGCGGCCTGCAGCTGTTCAGCCCGGCAATCCCTTTGACGAGGAGAAGGGCGAGGCGCGCAGCAGTCTGCCGAATAGCTCCCACGGCACGGCCGGCAATCGCCACGGAGCAGCCACCGGCCACCACACTGCAGCCGCTGGGCATGCAGCCCCTTCAGACCCAGCAGCTGACCCAGCAGCCGCCGCCAGCCAAATCACAGCTGCGGCGGCGCGCGGATGGCTTCATCAGTGGCCTGGCCGAGGCGGCTCAGCGAGCCACCGGTAGCCGCCTGGCTGGCGCTCACCGAGCGCTGCTGCAAGGCCCACAATCTGATGTGGCATCAGGAGTTTGCCACCGAGCATCCCATCCAGGAGCTGGAGCGTCTGCTGAGCGCCGTGCTCTTCGGCGTCGGTATCTGGGCGCAATGGTGGTGATTGCCTCGAGGATTGCGCGTCGGCACCGCCAACGACAGCGGATGAAGAGGGATGTGCCGCCACAGGACATCCCCGAGCAGCTGGGGGAGATCATCCAGCTGGTGCATCAGGCCAAGTGGTCGGTGGTACGGACACGACAGCAGCAGAACCGCAGCTAGGAAAGTATGCGCCCCCATACTGGAGCGTCTGCGATTTCTCTTGTACGAGGTGCGGCCAGCCATCAGTCCGCAGCAGCGGGGCTGCATCGTCTGCAGATTCTGCAACGGCTGCCGCGATTCCGTTTGCTGGTGCGACGCCTGCTGCAGGACTACTGCGCTTCGCAGCAGTCAGCAAGCGGAAGATCTGCTGAATGCCACATTCAACAGCGAGCAGGAAAAGAAGCCGCCACCGCCACTGGCAACGCCGCCGCCGAGCAGCAGCAGCAACACAGCAGCAGGAGGAGGGATGGAGGAGGAGAGCGAGAGCCTGCTCGACGCTCAACGACGAAAGATCATGGCGAGGGCGAGCTGGATGGCGTGCTGATGCAGGACATTGTGGACTTTGCCCTACAGGACAGCTGCGACGTGGAGACGGCCCGCCGGGCCGTGTGCTGCCGGATGCAGCGCTTTCAGCTGCGTCTCGCTGGCCTCCAGCTGGTGCGGCAGCTCTTGAGCTGCACGGCCTCCTGGATCAGCCCGATACAGTCTCCTCAATGGGTTCCTTGGCCTTCATCTGAAGTCGTCCCCATTCTGCAGCAGCAGCAACAGCAGCAGCGTCGGCAGCAGCAGGAGGATCGGATCCGGATCAGGCAGCTCGCTGCATGCTCTGGGGCAACTGAATATGGTCAGCCCTATCAGAAGGCCAGGCTGCTGCTCTCCCAGGCTCACGTCCTGGACTGGGCCGTGCACAAACTGCGGCGTCTGGTCAACCAGGAGCAGCAGGGCTCGACACGCGCAGGGACAGCTCCCGACCTGAGCACCTATGTGCTGCTGAAACGCTCTGCCGCGCGCCCGCTTCTCCTGAGCGTGTTCGGTCTGCTGGCCAAGGAGCTGGGCCCCAACGAGCTGGGACTGCTGATCAACTCGGGCCTGCTGGGCACGGTGCTCGGCCTGCTGGCGCAGACGGGCAGGCGAGGGCGTGGCCGGCGGGCAGCCCAACACCGAGCTGACTGTGCTCTACAAGGACAGTGTGATGAAGCAGAAGTGCAGCAAGGCGCAGCTGAGTGCCCCGATCTGGCCAAACTGATGAAGATCGGCACGGAATTGTACGTGGCTCGGACTGGAAGTGGGGCGACCAGGATGGCAATCCGCCAGGCGAGTCGCATCATCAGCGAGGTGGGAGAGGATGGGTAAGCCAGCAGCAGCAGGAATATATCCCGCCAGCAATCATTGATTCGATTCCACTTCCACTTTGCTCTCCTCTGGGTGGGTGCGCATCAAATGGTACAACGCCACCAATCTGCGCATGGGCAAGGAGGGTCAATACGATCTGCAGCTGGCCGACGCCCTGAATGTCGCCTCGCCCACAGAGCCGGAACGCGAAGAGCTGGCCGGCGTTGAGGCGTCGCCCGCAGCGAGTCCCATCCCTTCAATTGTTGCGCCACTGTGCGCCAAGCTGCTGCAGATACTGGCCGTGGGCAGCGGCCTGCATGGCGCCTACTTGGACAGGCATGCGCTGAGGGGCGTCACCTGCATGTTCCGGGCGATAGTCGATCCGAAACCGGCCATGGAGACGTAGCCAACTCGCTGGGCTGGCTCAATCTGGGCTTCATACGAGCCATAATCAGGTGGTAGTGCTGCGCCTAGTAACCCCCATCGTCCAGTCCAGTTTAATTTTCTTGCACCCCATCCCCCCACAGGTGACTGTCGGCGTCTCTGTCTGGAGCTGAGCACACCCGGCTGGCTGGCCACTATCTGGAGCTGTTGGAACAGCCGGCGGGCAGCGAGGCGGGCGTCTACAGGCAGCTCACCGCTGCTGCTCTGCTGCAGTGCATTGTGGCCAATGAAAAACGGAGGAGGAGCCGCGCATGGGCAGCCTGGTGCGCAGCTGTTTTCCACACTGGGCCGGATTGCCCTGCACTGTCCCGGCGATGTGACGCTGCAGCCGACGGCCGAGGGTAAGGCACGCGTGCTGCTAACCGCCTCCCATTCAGGCAGTGTGGCGAGAGCTGGTCTGCTGCTGCGTCGCCTGCACACGCTGCCACACTGGAATGCGGTAATCAATTCGTTTTGGCCCAGAAGCTGTGCGTGGCCGCCGAGCTGCTGGGCGAACAGCAATGCCAGCGGCTCGCTGGACAGCGAACCGATCTTTGTCCTCGGCGTGCTCAGTACCATGGGCGGCTGTGATCTGCGTCCGCGCATGGGGACTGCATCTGCTGTCAACGAGGGCAGCCACATGATCATTGCCAGCTTTACGCACAAGGGTAGATGCCTGCTGGCAGCCGCCACCCCAGGAAGGATCTGCCACGGGCAGCGGCAGCGGTACCGTGGGGGTTCGTGAAGGTGCCGCTGTCTCTCTGATGCCACATCTGGACCACAGTGTGTCAGCTTGAGCGCCCTGCCCATGAACGAGATGCTGCTGAATGCCTGGACGGTGCTCCTGTACGGCCCCGCGACGGAGGCGCGCGAGTGTCGCCCGCCAGCGAATGGCTCGGCGGAGGGACGCCTGGATCTGGGCCATCTGCGGGCACAGCAGCTGCAGCTGGCCGTGCTGCACACGAACGGCGTGCTCTATCGCCACCAGGCGGCACTGCGACGCATCCTCAACGGCAGCGGGCGCCGGGCATCTACGCGGATGATGGAAACAGACACCGAAAGGGACAGGAGTAGAGAGGGCGAGGCAGAGGAAGATGAAGGCAACGAACGGGGAGCAGCAGGATCAACCCCAAGAGGAGGAGGAGGAGGAGCACTCGGAGCGGGAGCAGGAGCAACAACAGCAGCAACAGTACAGTGCAGCAGCAGAGAGCAGCGGACGAGGCGGACAGGAGGCGCAGCTCCTGATCCAATGCATCCTTCTGAGAGCCACCCAGCCTCGCCCGTACGGGCCTGCTACACCTACACAGATCTCTCGACGGCTGCCCTCAACTGTGTGCAGTCGCTGGCCAGCCAGGCCCACCTCGAGCTCAGCGAAAGCGAGGCCGAAGGCTCGGCACCCAGCCCCGCCCTGGCCACACCGCCACAGCCGACCATGGTGCACGGCGTGCCCGTCTACAATGTGTTTAAGATGGTGACGGCCACGAAGGAGGCTGCTGCCACCAAATGGCCCTCCCAGGTGGCGGCCACCGATGCGGAGCTCATCAATCAGATCATGGACATGGGCTTCCCCAAGCGAACGGTGGAGCTGGCCCTCGAGCAGCTGTCGCTGCAGGCGGAGATTATGCCCACCCGAGCAGATTGTCCAGTGGATACCGAGCATCCGGATGTGTGCGCGATACCATCGAGGAGGATCCCCTGCCCCAGGGCAGTGGTGGGGCCAGCCACGATCCCGAGGCAGACTCCGACAATGAGTCGCCCAGCAGTCTGTCCAGCAGCTCCTCGGCGAAATCCTCAGCCTCCTCGGACACCGTTGAGGGTCAGCCGGGAGCCAATGCGGCCGCCGCCGCCGCCTCCGGTGTCGTTGCATCGCCGCCACCGGTGAGATTTGAGTCGCGCAAGGATTTCCAGACGGCCGATCACTATGCGCTCTATGTGCGCGGCCTGGTGCGTCCGGGATGACGGTGCGCTGCTGCCGGGACTTCGAGGAGATCAAACAGGGCGACATGGGGCACCGTGCTGATCGTGGACACCGAGGGACTGCGACGATCTCAACGTGCAGGTGGACTGGCGCAATCACGGCAGCACCTATTGGGTCTGCTTCGTGCACATCGAGCTGGTCGATCCGCCCCTGGGCTCTGGGCTGCTGCGCGGCTGCGATCCGATGTCCGCCCACCACCTGCTGCGTCCGTCCGCCGCAATTGTGGTGGGTGCTCAGGTCCGGCCGCGCTGCTCCGCCCGCTACGGCGTCTTCAATCAGGATGCGGCTGGGCCGCACACAGCGCGTGCCCGGCGTCGTGACGGCGAGTCGCGGAAACAGCTGACGGTGGACTTTCCCGACCAGCCCGCCTGGCAGGGGCACATCAACGATGTGGAAATGGTGGCCCTGCCACCCACACCGGCACCCATTGCCGCCGATCTGCAGAGCGCCCAGGTGGCGCCCAGTGACTTGATTGAGACTGGAGCCGCTGCATACGCTCGCTGACGGTCAGCTCGAATGAGGCGGCGGCCAAGCATCTGCTGGACGGCATCGGCGAGACGTGGCAGAGCTGCTCGAGCGGGCCGTGTCGCCACTGGATACGCCTGGAGCTGCACGACCGGATACTGGTGCACAGCCTGGCGCTGCGCGTGAGTTCGAGCATTATCGCACATGCCCTCGCTGCTGGAGATCCGTGTGGCGAGTGCGTCGACAGCCTCGAAGAGTACACGTGGATACCGGTGCCCGCGGGCGCAGTCGGGTGCTGCTCATGCAGCAGGTGCCCACCTACCCTCCCTGGATCGAGATCGTGGTAAAGCAGTGCCAGAACAACGGCATCCAGTGCAAGGTGCACGGCCTGCAGTTCGTAGGGCGGCGCCAGAAGCCCGATCTGCACCACATGCTGGCCAATGCGCAGTTCCTGGCCTGCGAATACAATGGCCCGGCGGGAGCGACGGCAGGCCCCGCCAGCGTCTCCTGCACGGCTCCGAACACGGAATGGTGTCTGCTCCGGATCCCGGATCTGCCCTGCACCGTGATGGTGTGGGGCCTGAACGACAAGGAGCAGCTGGGCGGCCTCAAGGGCTCCAAGGTGAAGGTGCCCCATTTCTCGCAGACCATCAGCCGGCTGCGTCCCATCCACATAGCCGGCGGCTCCAAGAGCCTCTTCGTTGTTGGGCAGGACCGCAAGGTATGCGCCTGCGGCGAGGGCACCAACGGACGCCCTCGGCCTCGGCGTCACACACAATGTGCCGCTGCCGACCAGCTGCCGGTGCTGCATCAGTATGTTCGTCAAGAAGGTGGCCGTACACTCGGGCGGCAAGCACGCTCGCCCTCACCCTGGACGGCAAGGTGTTCTCGTGGGGCGAGGGCGAGGACGGCAAGCTCGGCCACGGCAACAGGACGACGCTGGACAAGCCGCGACTGGTGGAGACGCTGCGCTCGAAGAAGATCCGTGACGTGGCCTGCGGCTCATGCCATTCGGCGGCCATCTCCAGCCAGGGTGAGCTCTACACGTGGGGCCTGGGCGAGTACGGCCGCCTGGGACACGGCGACAATGCCACACAGCTGAAGCCCAAGCTGGTGGCTGCCCTGACCGGCAGACGGGTCATTCAGGTGGCCTGCGGCAGCCGAGATGCCCAGACGCTGGCCCTCACCGAGGACGGGGCCTCTTCTGTGGGGCGACGGCGATTTCGGCAAGCTGGGACGCGGCGGCAGCGAGGGATCGGACACGCCGCACGAGATCGAACGCCTCTCGGGCATCGGCGTCCATTCAGATCGAGTGCGGAGCGCAGTTCTCGCTGGCCCTGACGCGCGCCGGCGAGGTGTGGACCTGGGGCGAGGGCGACTACTTCCGGCTCGGCCATGGCGGGGATCAGCATGTCAAAAGCCGCAGCCCATTGGCGGCCTGCGCGGACGTCGCGTCATCCATGTGGCCGTCGGTTGCTGCATTGTCTGGCCGTAACGGACGCCGGCCAGGTGTACGCCTGAGGGACAACGACCACGGCAGCAGGGCAGCGGCAACACGTTCGTCAACAAGAAGCCCGCGCTGGTGATTGGCCTGGACGCGGTGTTCGTGAATCGTGTGGCCTGCGGCAGCTCCATCGATTGCCTGGGGCCTGCCGATGCCACCCTCGAGGAGAGAAGCGCGGCCCCGTGCCCTTTGGCAGCACACGCGATCCGCTCGGCGGCAGCAGTCTGGGCATCTACGAGGCGGAGGCGGCCGCCGCTGCCGGCGCCCTCAAGCAGGACGCCAAGCCGGCCACACTGACCAGCCTGAGCGAGAGCCTGGCCCTGGAGACGCCAGCCGCCAGGCAGGCGGCCCTCGGTCATGTGCTCGCGCCATGGACGTGCTGCAGGCGCGGCAGCTCATTGTGGCGGCCCTCACCAGCCACAGCAGGGTGAACTACAAGGAGCGCGGCGAGCAGCGGGCGGGAGCGGCGCAGGAGCAGCGGGCGAAGAGGATCAGCTGATGGGTGCCAGCGGCATGGGAGGGTGCCAATGCCGCCGGCGAACCGATAGCCCAGGGCGGCGGAGAGGCGCCCGCAGATGCCACGGATGCAGCCCTCCAAATGGAGCACAGTCCCGACGCCCAAATCGAAGCCATAGCAGTGGCAGCCGGTGCAGGATCTGCCACAGCTACGCTGCCGGCGCCACTGGCTGCCGGACCGCTGAGCGCCTTCCAGAGCCTCACCGGATCGCTGTCGATGTCTGGATCGCTGCTCGAGCAGCGCCCTGCCGCCGCAGCACAAACACTCGCGGATGTCGGCCAGCGCCATGTCCGTGATGGCCGCCACCATGACCCAGCAGGAGGAGATGCTGGCCCAGATCAGCCACACGCACGGCCTGGACGACTTTGGCGGGCTGCTGGGCGAGCCGGAGGCCAAGAGCCTCGTGGAGCTGCTGAAGCTGGCCGTGTGCGCCGCTACGGACCCCCCAGCACCGCCCAGACGATTGCGAGACGCTCATCTCGCTGGGCTCGGATGCGGCGATTAGCTCGATGCTGATGGAGACATGCATCACGGAGCTGGAGGATCTGTGCACGTCACGGCACTGCCTCGGCAAGCTGCCCGAAGCCGGTCATGCAGGAGAGCAGCCATCCGTATGTGGACGATGTGAATGTGACCGGAGCGGTGCGGATACCCGGCGCAGAGATGCTGCGCCTCGAGTTCGACAGCCAGTGCAGCACGGAGAAGCGCAACGATCCGCTGGTAATCACCGATGCAGCCGGCCGTGTGCTCGCGATGCGCTCCGGCCGCGAGTTCGCCCACTGGGCGCCCGAAATCCGAGTGCCCGGCGACGAGCTGCGCTGGAAATTCACCTCGGACAGCTCGGTGAACGGCTGGGGCTGGCGCTTCTGGGTGCACGCCATAATGCCAGCGGCGACGCTCGGCGAGAGCGGCTCGGATCGTCGTGCTGTCGCAGCCATCGATGGCGCTGGTCATGGCGCTGCTGGACTCCCGCTGGCGCCCAGCCAGCAGGGTGTGCTCATCCGCCTGGCCTCGGCGCTGGCCGCCTGCTCCAGCTGGGCGCCCTCACCACCGCCAGCGGATCTGGTCACTGAAGAAACTGCACGCAGTGCTGCTGCTCGACCAGGCGCCCAAGCCGCAGGATCCCACGCTGGCGGGCATCCTGCAGCCGCTCATCCCGAGCTGTTGCGCCAGTACGAGTACGAGGAGCCGCAGGTCCGTGGCGGCATCCATCTGATGCATTCGGATTACTTTGAGACGCTGGCCGCGCTCACCTCTGACATGCAGCTGGATGCCTCGCTGCCAGCGCCCGTACTGACAACAACAGCAGCAACAACAGCAGCAGCAATCTCTGGAACAGCAGCAGGAGGAGCAGCAGCAGCAGCAGGAGGAGCTACAGCTGAAGGTGGCGGTGGCTCTGCAAGCTGCAGCGCCAACTCAACGGGGATGGACACAAGTGGGCCTGGTTCAAGCGCTACTGCATCGCGGTGCGCGTGGCCCAGTCGCTGATACGCCGCACAGAGCTGCCGCGTCCCTTCTGCCTGGAGGTGCGCAAGAAGTTCGCCGAGATGCTACCGATCCAATCCGAATGCCAGCAACACCAGCCAGTCGCACTCCCCCGCTCGCCTCCATGCTCAACTCGACCACGTCGCTGTCCTCGACACCGCCAGCAATTTGACACCGCCGCCGCCACCCATTCTGCTGGCCGAGCACCAGGAGCACCTGGCCCTGCTCCACTGTCCGTCCCAGCAGCAGCAGCAATCGGAGTCCTCTTCCCTTGTGCTGTTGCACGAGGATCACACGCTGTTCCAGGCGCCACACGATGCCCAGCTGCTGCAGTGGCTCAATCGACGGCCCGACGACTGGGCGCTCAGCTGGGGCGGAGCCAGCACCATCTACGGCTGGGGCCACAACCATCGCGGGCAGCTTGGCGGGCTGAAAAGGGACCGCATAAGACACCGACACCCTGCGAGGCGCTCAGCCTGTTCGGCCCGTGCAGCTGGCCGGCGGAGAGCAACCCTGTTCGCCGTCACGCCCGACGGGAAGCTCTTCGCCACCGGCTACGGCTCCGGCGGCAGGCTGGGCGTGGGCGGTGCCGACAGCTGGGCCATACCCACGCTGCTGGGCTCCCTGCAGCATGTGTTCGTCAAGAAGGTGGCCGTCAACTCCGGCGGCAAGCACTGCCTGGCCCTCACCACCGAGGGCGAGGTGTACGCCTGGGGCGAGGGCGAGGACGGCAAGCTCGGGCACGGCAATCGGATGAGCTACGACCGCCCGAAGCTGGTGGAGCATCTGAACGGCATGAATGTGGCGGACATTGCCTGTGGCAGCGCCCATTCGGCGGCCATCACCGCCAGCGGACACGTCCTCACGTGGGGCGAGGCCGCTCACGGACGCCTGGGACACGGCAACTCAAGGGTCAGCTGCGGCCCGCAGCTGGTGGAGGCGCTGCTCGGCTATCGGGCCATTGACATTGCCTGCGGATCGGGCGACGCCCAGACGCTGTGCATCACGGACGACGACAATGTGTGGAGCTGGGGCGACGGCGACTACGGGAAGCTGGGGACGCGGCGGCAGCGATGGCTGCAAGCTGCCTACAAGATCGAGAGCCTGGCCGGCCTGGGCGTCGTCAAGGTGGAGTGCGGCTCACCGTTTCGGTGGCGCTCACCAAATCGGGCGCCGTCTACACATGCGGCAAGGGCGACTTTCATCGGGCTGGGCCACGGCTCCGGGACCATGTGCGGCGGCCCAAGAAGGTGGCCGCCCTGCGGCAAGAAATTTCTCGATAGCCACCGGCTCGCTGCACTGTGTCGCGTGCAGCGATTCGGCGATCTGACACGTGGGGGACGACGATGAGGGACAGCTGGGCGATGGCACGGTCACCGCCATCCAGCGGCCGCGCCTCGTCGCCGCCCTCCAGGGCAAGCACATTGTGAAGGTCACGTGCGGATCGGCACCACCCTGGCCCTGTCCACGTCGCAGCTAAGCGAAGGGCTGCGTCCGCTGCCCAATCCAACCGCTGGAATACGATCTGGTGCGCGATCTGGCGCCCGAGGCACTACACGCGCGCCTCATTCTGCTGCGTCACTTCTCGGAGCTGCTGTGCCCGTGACTGGCCATGCTGCCGATTGCGGGGACCTCAGCCTGGGCGCCCTCAAGGATGTGCTCGTGTACAACGTCAAGGAGGCGGCCTTCCGCAAGGTCATCCAGACGACAATGGTGCGGGACAAGCAGCACGGGCCGGTCATCGAGCTGAACCGCATCCAGGTGAAGCGATCGCGCAGCCGCTGCAACGGCCTCGCCGGCATCGATGGCATGAAGAGCGTCTTCGGTCAGATGGTCCAGAAGCTGCCGCTGCTCACCCAGGAGGCGCTTGCCTTGCCGCATCGCGTGTGGAAGGTCAAGTTCGTCGGCGAGAGCGTCGACGATTGTGGCGGCGGCTACAGCGAATCCATCGCTGAGATGTGCGACGAGCTGCAGAATGGCAGCGTGCCGCTGCTGATCAACACGCCCAATGGACGCGGCGAGGCGGGCGCCAATCGGGACTGCTTCCTGCTGGATCCCACGCTCGGCTCCGTCTGCAGATGAACATGTTCCGCTTCCTGGGCGTCCTTAGGCATTGCCATGCGCGCGGGCTCCCCGCTGAGCATCAAGTGAGTAAACAATCCACTAGCCATGGGGCCACTCATTGTGTGTGTCTCTTATCCAATTACAGTCTGGCGGAACCCGTTTGGCGACAGCTGACGGGCGAGGTGCTGCGTCCGCCGGACCTCACCGAGGTGGACCGCGACTATGTGGCCGGTCTGCTGTGCATACGCAACATGGACGACGATGCCGAACTGTTCAACACGCTGGAGCTGCCCTTCTCCACGTCGTCGGCGCGGGCCATGAGGTGCCGCTCTCCACCAGATACACGCACATCTCGCCACGGAATCGGGCCGAGTATGTCCGGCTGGCGCTCAGCTTTCGGCTGCACGAGTTCGATGAGCAGGTGAAGGCGGTGCGGGATGGCATGTCCAAGGTGATACCAGTGCCATTGTTGTCGCTCTTCTCCGCCGCCGAGCTGCAGGCCATGGTCTGCGGCTCTCCCGACATACCGCTCGGTCTGCTCAAGTCGGTGGCCACCTACAAGGGCTTCGATCCGGGCTCGGCACTGGTCGCCTGGTTCTGGGAGGTCATGGAGGAGTTTACCAATCAGGTGGGTAAAGGTGGCCAGCCTTTGAGGTTTCTGTCTGTGAATTCTGCTTAAAATAATTCATTTTGCAGGAGCGCTCGCTGTTCCTGCGCTTTGTGTGGGGACGCACACGACTGCCGCGCACCATAGCCGATTTCCGTGGCAGGGACTTTGTGCTGCAGGTGCTCGAAAAGAATCCGCCCCGATCATTTCCTGCCCGAGAGCTACACTTGCTTCTTCCTGCTTAAGATGCCGCGTTACTCCTGCAAGGTAATGGCCACTCAAATGCCCTTCCTCCTGCCTCCCTCTGGTAGTGTTTATTTGAATGTGTGTTTTGTGCCTTCTATTCACAGGCGGTGCTGCTGGAGAAGCTCAAGTATGCCATACACTTTTGCAAGAGCATCGATACGGATGAGTATGCACGCGTGGCCATGGGCGAACCCACCGAGGCGACTGGCAGCGAGGATAACAGCGATCTGGAGTCGGTTGCCAGCCACGATGGCTAATTGGAGACCACAACAACAGCCACAAACAGAGCGTATAACGAACGAATCTCTAGAGGAGCAGATCTTAGATCCATTTAGTAGATGGTTGGATGGATGAATCCTTCTCACTCGATAACCCACTCGCACACTCTCACTCATTCCATGGATATTTAGGACACACACAAAAAGCCTTCGCACACGTACACAATGCATAACACGTGCACACATAAATACACACACACACACATACATATAGTAGTACATACACACGCATCTATATACATACATATATGGGTATATATATAGTAATATATTTTGAATTAGCCCATGCCACAGAGCAAGATAGAGCATAGACAGCGATGAAACAGAAAGAGAACGAGATACAGATAGAGATAGAGTCAGAGATAGAGACAGAGACAAAAGTAAGTAAAGAGAATAGCAGTGAAAGATATGAGACAGATCGATGGAGCGTTCATGAAACCAAAAAGCTAAGCGTTAATGTTATTTCCATAATATATATTAATATTACATATATACGTATGCCAGCAAACGGGGGGTGTTTGCACATGATAAATCTAAATATAAATGTTAGTTGAAGTAAAACCCACTCCACTTCCACATCTCATAATTATACCTACCAGCCACCAGCCACACCCACACCAGGCTTTAGCGTTAGACCAACCCAAGCCAACCCAACCCAACCCATCCAAAACCGAATGAGAAGCAAACTCATCTTACCACTAGAACAGTTGATGGATTGTTATCCATGGCAGTAGAGATCCAATTAAAGTTTAAAGCAAAGAAAGAAATGTGTTTGAAGCAACGTAAACAAAAACTCTATTTAAAAAGTAAAACTAAAACCTAAATAAATACAAAATATGAAAATTAAAACGAGTAATTATATTTAAGCAGGGCTCACACACAGTAACAGGATTCCATCAATTATAAATTGCTACAAAATGGAAACTTTTCAAGGTACTTAACACGAGACAACAATTAGAGTGTGTGTGTGCCTGGCTGATTGGATCTCATGAACATTTTTCAGAACTGGCGACAAAATCTCTCTCTTTTTAAAATAATGCTTAGGTAATAATTATTACCAGGCAACTAGCACTAGCACAAGGCCAGCAGCCAAATGGGTTTAAAGAGAGTAATGCATGGCCTTTTATTTAACGACAAAATTAATGGGTTGAATGGAGAAGAGAAATATGATCTTTTAATTCGTGTACATGCAGTAGCTTTACCCGAAGATTTATCACGCCAAAGCTTTAGTTTTCTAACATTATTTGTGTTGCTTTTATTTGGAATTTTGTTAATGGTAATGCTAATTCTTTGTGACCTCATTACCCACACTGATATTTGTATGGGGGAACCATTAGAACTCGTAGCACACAGGAGTCGTGGAATCAGGAATATAGATTTAATCTGCAACACCCTCCGCTCGAAATGATCTTTAGGAATAATCCCCTTACGCACTTAGCTTATTTTTGAGGTTCAATGAGTAATTTTGATTTATTTGGATTAGCTGGAAATTTAGTTGAGCCCAAAAAAGTGGCCTGGGACCTGGGAACCACCCAGAATTAAATGCCACACCCCCCAGTCATCGGTATTCAGTCATCTTCCTGGCCGAAGAACATGCCCGAGGCGTAGCCTTCGTTGTAGCAGCCAAAGTTGGCACCATCTTCTGGTTGGGCTTGCACTTCGTCCACCACCGGAGCAGAATCACAGCAGCACTCACAGTCCATGGCCTCGTATCGGGCCGCGTTCACGGCCTCCTCGTCGTCCTCCGCATCCACCTGATCGGCCGCCAGGGGGGCAGCTGCAGTTTCCAAGCAGTTGCAGGCACCGCCACTTGCCTGTCGCTCCTTTTCGGTCTGGGATGCGGCAGTGGCGGTGCTGCTGGCGGAGCTGCTTTCGGCGGAGCCTCCGCCCATGACGGCATTGAAGACACCGCTGAGCACACGGTAGACGGCACCGTGCACCTGCCCCACCAGCTCGCTAGCCGGACGCACTTCATCTGCCTCCTGGGGGGACTGATACTTGAAGGCCCTCTGCTGCTGCTGCTCCTGTTGTTGCCGTTGCATGAAGGCTCTGGTGTCGTTGCTGCTGCTCTTCAGGCACCCTCGACCTTTCGGTGCGGATTCTCGCAGGGCACTTGCGACGCGGCGCCGCAGCCCCACCAGACGCCGGCGGTGACGAGGACGGCGGTGGGGTGGCGGCTCGGATCTGCATTGATCGTCCTGCCGTGCCTTTGCCGCCGAGCGGCGCTGCTGCTCCCGATCGTACTCGGACATGGCGCGCTCCGATCGCTCGCGGCACGAACCGCACTCGGGATCGATCTCGTAGAAGCCCGTATCGGAGTCGAGCCCTCCTGCTGACGGGTCGCGCTCCTTGTCACAGCTGCAGCTGCCATCGGCCAGCATGCCGCCGCCAGCCCCAGACTTCTTTCCCGATCGCCGCCGTATTCGGTACACAATATACAGGAGGGCCATGGTCGCATACGTGACCTTGGCCACCTTTTAGCATGGGGGGGAGGGGAGGGCAGGGCATGGCAATATTGGGGAATAAAAGAACGGGGCACAAAGATACTTACATTCGCACGGCCATTCATGGTGCTGGCATTGAAGTGCTTCTTGAAGCCCTCGGACATCGTGGGGAAACGGACTAGTTCAAGGATCTCTGGGAGCTACGTCTGATCTCTGGGTGTGGTGGGATCTGATATAGAGTTGTGTGAGAGGCGAGGAGGAAACGAGTTAATGTCTACGGCAGGGCCTACTCGAAGCTAAAAACAAATTGCTTGTGGAATGGCATCCAGATGGGTTCTGGGAATTTATTAAATCAAAAGAAAAACGAACACGCAATTTGGCTAACGATAGCTGAGGGGGCAATCCCCAGGCTAAGAAGGGCTACTGCTGCTGCTCCTCCTCCTGCTGCTGTTCTTTAGTGGCGCAGCAGGACCTTCTGACAGCCCTTGCAGTAGAGCTTGGCCTCGCGACGCTTCACCCAGGCCTGTTGCATCTTCAGCAGCACATAGGCGACGCCCAGACCGGCCAGCGTGGCCTTGGCCACCTGAGGAGAGGCAATAATTATCCAAATGAACGACTGAGTGGGTGGAAACACTCTTAGGGAGTACATACATTGGCACGTCCGCGCAGTGTGTGGCTGTTGAATTTATCCATGAAGGAGGATCCATTGAAACGCTCGGACATCTTGGAGTTATATTGATTCGAGCTGCTGTTACTTATACGGGGAAATGTTTGTTGATTTGTTTTCGAATTTCGAATCAATGCAAAGTCAGACAAAGCCTGCTCTGCCAATGCCCTGCCACTGCCACTGCCCCTGCCACTGCCCTGCCACTGCCTCTGCCCCTGATAGTTTCCCAATAAATACATATGGTAGATGTTTCCGCCATTCAATAGGCTAATATTTGGTGGGGCTTTTGTAAATGATTATTTAAACAAAGATGTTGTACTTTTGTTTCGTTATTCTCATATGCATGATCAGAAAAAAGAAAAACAGAAAACAGTTCGAGATTTTATTTGTATGGAGTAGTTTTCCCCCCACTCGTGCGTGTGCCGAGCGTTAATCAATAATGCAAGGATTATATAGATTACGGCGCCCCCAGCGGACAACCAACAAAGATCGGGAAGTGATCGGTTTACACTGTACCCTGTAATTTGCACACCCTCCTGCACAGTGGCTCAAACTCTGCGGCACACACTGGGCCCACCCCCAAAATCGATCCATGGACTATCATCATTTGCATGTCATTTGTTAGGGGGATACTCCTACCTGGCCTGGAGTCTGTGTCTGTGTCTGTATATAAGGAGTGCTGCCTGTCTGTGGCATTTGTTTATTTGTCTATTCAAAGTTCGAGCATGAAGTTGAATCTGTTGCTGATCAGCATCGCTGTGGGCATCTCATTGCCTGGCGGCCTGGAAGCAGGGGTAAGCACCTACAAGCTGAGAGGGAGCGAGAATCGCAGCTGTAATATGTGCATAAATATGTGTTGCAGGTGACGGAGGATCAAATGTGGGCCGCTGGCAAACTGATGAGGGATATCTGCCTGCCCAAGTATCCCAAGGTGAGCGTGGAGGTGGCCGATGGCATACGCAATGGTCAGATACCCAACAGCAAGGACTCCAACTGCTACATCAATTGCATTCTGGAGATGATGCAGGCCGTAATTTCCCGTTCCTGTTCCTGTTCATTTTCCACTTTCAATTCCATTCTGTATTTGCATTCTTTACGCACAGATCAAGAAGGGAAAGTTCCAGGTGGAGGCCTCACTCAAGCAGATGGAAGTGCTGCTGCCGGACAGCTACAAGCCGGCGTATCGTGAGGGCCTCACTGCGTGCAAGGACTCCACTGTGGGCCTCAAGAATGCCCCCAACTGTGATCCAGCCCATGCCCTGCTCTCGTGCCTCAAGTCCCACATCAATGTCTTTGTCTTCCCCTAAACGAATCCATGGATAGAGTACCAGTTCCCAGTTCCAGTTCCAGTTGTAGTCTGTAGATCCCCCCTAGTCCCCTAGTTGCATCAATAAATATTAGCCTGCCCCCCTTTCCCAAAAGAGATTTCGATGCATTTTGATGGGGGTTGCATGATCTCCGCTGCCTGTGCCATGTCATGGGAATGACTGAGGCATCGTGGCATCATGATCTACAAGCAACGATCGCGATCCATTTGCGATTAATACAGCGTGTACCGGATGCACTGGACACGACCCTAGACTAAGGCCACACCCACACCCAAACCCACAGCCCAGTCGAATGGGTATAAAACACGGGGCCAGTCCCATCCATCCACTGGCGATCCATTTTTATAGCTGGGCAAACAAGAAAAGTGGAAATTATGCAGCCTGCTAACTGGATGTCAACTCTCGCACTGGTGCTGGCCTGTGCCTGTCTGGCAGCAGCCGATGGCGATGACGAGGAGATGACCATGTCACTGGACGAGGTGGTGGAGCTAATCGAACCGTTTGGCGAAAGCTGTAAGCCCCAGCCGCAGCGAGGTGAGTAGCATCTCCAGCCAGTGGCAGTGCCAGTTCGATCCACAGCATCCATCCCATCCCATCCCATCAGAGAACATTGTGGAGATGATCAAGAACACACAGGAGGCCAAATATGAGACAAAATGCTTCCGCCAGTGCATGCTGGAGCAGTTCGAGCTGATGCCCGAGGGCCAGTTGAAGTTCAACGAGGACAAGACGCTCGAGATGATGAACATGATGTTCCCCAACCAGGAGAAGGAATCACCCACCATAATCAAGAGCTGCAACGATCAAGTATCGAGCAAAGACAAGTGAGTGACATCCATCTCTCCCTCTCTGATTCCGATTCTGATTGTGGATCTCTGGATTAGGTGCGAGGCGGCCCATGACATATCCATGTGCATGCTGGGCGCGATGCGACAGCAGGGCTACAAGATACCCGACATCAAGGAGTAGTCCATTGGGGAAACCCTTCCTCCAGGCGTTTGCTCCACACATTCTTTTTTTTTCTAGTATTTTTTTTTTTCGTTTTTATTGTTCGTTTAATTTTTAATTAGAACACACACAATTCGATGTGGTCCCAGACGAGAAATAAAGCGCCCAGCCATAGCCAAATACATAGAACTTGGAGTTCATTCGGGGGTAAACAGGAGAGCAGCAAGGCAGATTCGGGCAGAATCTCTACCAGATCAACTTGACATTGTTCCGCTCCAGCTGGCGGCCAATGCACTGATTGAGCTGGTGGGCAGCCTCACAGGGATTCTTGGCCGAGACGGCGCGATTGCAGGTCTGCGCCAGGCTGCAGCTCAACGCGATGGCCATCTTATTGTCCTGGGTCACCAGACCGGTCAGCTTCTCCACCTGGGCCAGATTCAGCTTGTTCTTGTCATCCATCTAAGGGTGCAACACGATACCATCTCTCTCTCTCTCTCTCCATCTCTATCTGTGCATTTAATACTCACAATTTTGGTCTTCTTGAGCACACACTCTATGAGGCATTTCTCCTTCTCGCTGGGATTGGACACCTTCATCAGCGGACGCTGATCCTTGGGACAATTCAGCTGCTGAATGCACTCCTTGCGCCAGAGTCGATCATCTCCTGTACATGCGGCAGCTGGCGTACCATCACCGTCCAAATGGGCTCTGTGCCACGACCGACAAGGATTTTGGTCAGGTCGAAGCCCTGGCCACGGACGCAGCTCATCTGCAGCAGCAGTGGCATCAGCAGGAGAGCACTGGTCGTGGCTAGCATCGATGGCATCATCATCTTTGGATGGGGCATGTTTGGCTCTTGCTCTTTGTTTATTCCACTGGCCACCAGTTCTTGGCTTATATACCCATCCATGACCTTCTAGATCTGCGGCAGTTACTTCTTTAGACTTATTTTTGATACATTTTGCTGACCCATCAGCGTTGGAAAATAAAAAGAATTTTCCAGTGTCAAGTTCATGACGAGAGCTCCACACACAAGTCACGCATCACAGACGATCGCAGTCAGCAGCCCCACACTGCTTGGAGCCACCACCCGCCCCCACCCACGCTGGGAAAATTCTACAAGCAACGTACATATGAATGTGTTTATATATAATTATATTGATTTTTTTGTTGGGCATCATCTATAAGTAATAAAATTATATGAATGCGAGCCAATGATGCTTATGGCCTTTGTGTATCCAGACCTATGTACATATGTCGTACGAAAACCCTTTAATGCCGAGACACGAGTCGGGCACACGACATGTATATTGTTCTTACATTCCCGTGCATTCTTTTTGGCGCTTTTCGCAGCTCAAATCTCGTAGCAATGGAAGGACGGGCAGCATAAAGTATTAAGTGATTTTTGTGTAAGGCTGCTACCTTTGAGGCTTTGTTATATTTTCCAAATTGCACACTCGAACGTAAGTAAATGGCGGAGAACTGCAGCTTTTAGTTACAAACAAAGTTACTATGACAGCTTTCTGAGACCCCTAACCACATACCTACTCGTACTGGCTCTCAAGTTATCTTAATAACTACAAAATATAATTATTCTCACAGAGCATTGTCAAACGAACGAACGAACGAACGAGCTTTCATTCCCTCCCACAGGGGCTATATTTTGTGAGAAGATTCTGATTGTAGTTCCAGCCAAATGATGAATGATGATGGATGGGTAATGGCTAATGGCTAATGGTTAATGTGTAATGGTTAATGGGTAGTTTTTGATTTTTTGGATTATTCAAATCATTTGCCACTAATTTTATTGCCCTGGCATTAAAACCAAAAGGCCTGCATTTGTCTCTGAATGTTATATGATATATTAAGTTGAATTCAAAAGGCAACGAATCGGTTTCTGGTGTAATTACATACTCCTACTCGTATTAATGGCGTGCCATCAAATGACAACCCGTTAGAATAACAAACAGATGGACAGCAATGCAATGGAAAAAAACAGACAGATTTTCAAGACAGACGGAATGGAGAGACGTAAGACGTGCATATAAATACGAGCCCCAAACGAATGGGTACTCTGATTGTGGAACATTTTACAATTTAAATATATCCAGTCTTGTATCCAGCCCCAAAGGATAGGTATCCAAATCCGATGCACAAGCGAAAACGGCAAAAGAGAATGCTTGCGAATGACCAAAACAAAATACATGTCGTGTGCATGACAAAGTAGATTGCTGCTTCACTCGAGTCATGCCGATAAGGTTTGTGTTTTTTTTTTGTTATTGCACTGCTTTGGTGGGCAGGATACTCATATGGGCATTCTCTTTCTCCGGGTAAGGGTATGCCGTGATTATAATTGCGAGGTGGCCGCAGTACTCACTCAGTTCCAGCCGTCAGAAGATTTTGATCGATTTAATTGCATTCGAGATTTAGAATTTTTGCATTTTCATTTCCATTTGGAGATGTCTGATTTCATGCCAGTCACCAATTAAGCGGATAATTGGCGATAGGTAGCCGCCCTACTATACGCCTCGAGCCTCGGCTTGGTGCTCACCCCCCTAGCAGTTCACACGATAGCCAGCCGAGGGAATCTCCGCCGGATCTTGGGCCAGATCGAGAGTGGAGTAGTGTGGAGTGCAGTGCAGTGGAGTGGAGTGTCAGGTGCTGCTCATATAGTTCACTCGGCTCCCATGCGATGCCGCTAATTGTAATTATTGTGGCTGTTCGCTTGAGATCAGGCCGAGACTCTCGGATGCGACTGGAGGTGGAGGTGGATCTCTCAAGTTATCACGCGACTTGGTAGCTCTATAAAATGCGGCTGCTCCCAGCTGGACGCATTTAAGTTCGAGTTTGTGCCCCGCTAAGTTCATTCGATACAATATGTCGCGTCTGGTTTGCCTGAGTCTGATGCTGATGCTGGTCGTGTGCCTGGTGGCAGTGGCCGAGTCGAAGCCACAGGAGGCCAACAGGGAGGAGCAAATGGCGGAGGCGGCCAACGAGTGCAAGGCAGAGACGGGCGCCACGGATGGTAAGCGATTCGATGCGTGGCTACGGCTACCCAAGGAATACACCAACCCAAAACGTAAACGTTCTCTTGCAGAGGATGTGGAGCTGATGATGAAGCACGAACCGTCTGGCAATCAGGAGGGCAAGTGCCTGCGCGCCTGCATGATGAAGAAGTTTAAGATCGTGAGAGCTCAACTCAATCCGCAACCGCAAGAGTATCGTTCCAAAAAGTATTTTTTCCTTTTTCACCACAGATGGAGGAGGACGGCAAGCTGAACATTGAGCACACTTTGGGCATGCTGAAGGTGATGAGCGAGCACGCTGAGGATAAGGAGGATGTCCTTACCGAAGTTGTGGAAACGTGTGCGGCCAGCGATGTGACCGAGGATCAGTGAGTATTTAGCTTTCGACCACACCACGCAACGCCACGCCACGCCACACCACGCCACTGATCTTGATCCGTTTCCATTTCCATTACCCTCCAGCTGCGAATCTGCCCAAGCCTATCAGACGTGCATCTTTGAGCACATGCAAAAGCATGGCATTCCCCTGATTGAGGAGCACTGAAGGTGAGAGATGACGACCAACACACCCATCGGCACACCCACTGGCCAATCGGAAGGACCTGTTAGCGCCCACTCTGGAATATACTACATATGAATCTCTATCTACCTAAATCTCTATATATATATATATTGTGTTTTTTTTTGTCGCTTACACTTTATGAATAGTCCCTAGATAACTGATAAATTGAGCATTTGAAAATAAAAAGGTAATTAAATTGGTTTTATGCTGGGAATGGTCGAAATTAGTTTTTGGGGCAGCAAATAACATTTCAGTGTACTCTGCTGTTATCTGATAGATTAATTAATCGTTAATATTCTTGTTCATTTTGGAACTGTCCTGCATCGTTACCAGATGCTCCTCTCTCTGTCTGCACAATTTGCTTTGATATTCAATATGGAACAGCTCACCGAGCTATAATTAAGGGGGAATACTACATAGAGCCAATATTATAGAGAATTAATTAAATTTATCAGACACATTTTACAGATATTTTTACTGTGTTATTTTGCAATGGAGCAGCTCTTAAGATCGAAGGTTGGAAATAAGGGCCATGAATATTAGCCATTGCTATTTAGCTCACTTCCCTAAATATTTTTCGATTACTGCCACAGATTCTTCAAACGAATATAAACGATTATTGTATACGTTGTTTGGTACGTCACACATTTACCTTGACCTTGACTTCGGTGTGCCGCTCAGAATACGCTTTATTTTCAAATATTTGTTGTATATTTGTGTTTATATATAGGGATTTTTATATAATGTCCCAATCTGGGTCGCACTTACAGCTACGCTTACGCACTACAGTTATGCTACACGTACACATTATCTTCTTCTTTCTCTTCTTTGCTGCTCTCTCATTCCCGAAATTGTGATGGCAAAGGACAGGCTCTGTTCTGGCTTGCATACAAGGCTCTAGGCTCCTACCAACGTTTCTTCCGTTCCGTTACTCTTCTTACTCACTTCATCATTGATTGATTGATTGATCGATCGGCCAAGGTAGCCACCGGCTTAAATATAGTATTTATATGGGTTTTTTTTTATAGTACGCTGCCTGCCAGCCTATCCTGGCGAATTCGCTTTCTGAAGACAGCGACGACGAGAGCGAGCGATGATGATGCTGCTGCTGCTGTTTCTGCTGCTGCTTTCAACAAGCGAATTCACAAGAGCTGGGGGCCGGGCTTGTCTAGTTTTGTATTAAGTATTAGCTTAATATAATGCGCAAAATCTATACGCGTTCCAGGGTCTTCTCTATTGGTCTCTAGGACCACGCACTCACACAGATACACGCACACACGCACACCAACTGACATCCACGCACACGATCATTGTTAAAGAAAAAACATGGAAAACGATGATGGGAGGCGTAAATGTTGGAGCATACAAAAAAAAATCCAAAATAGAAAAGAGCTTAATTTATATTTGGAAGGAGGGGGTTTTTCTTTTCAGCTGCCAAAGCAGAACAGGGACGTGCGGAGGCGAATGTGGATGCAGATGAGGGCTTCTCCCCGACTGGGATGTTCTCCTTAGCTAAATTTAATCTAAAAATGATTTTCTTTTGCATTTCGCAATTGCTTTTCACGTTTGTTGTTGCTTGGGAAGGCAGGCAGTACATTTTCATTAGTTTTCTTGTTGTTGTTTTCCGGCTAACAAAATCGAGGTGTTCCAGTCCACACACACACACACACGTACACACAAAACGTCCAACGGTGCGACATGGACGTCGAGGATCAAGTTCGGAGTAGTCAGGCAAGTCCTTGGCACTTGCCGGTGCTACTGCTCTGACGTGGTAGTGTTAGTGGCTGTGCTGTAGCTGTGGCGGTGGCTGTGGTTGTAGTCTTAGAGAAAATAGTCAGCCTGGGGCTTCTTTGATGGTATGCCCCGGCTCTCCTGTGGTGCCGCCTCGAATATGACAAAGTCACGATGCAGGTACTCGTTCAGTTCCAAAATGGCAGCCACATTGCCGCAACTGCCAAGCGAGGGTGGGAAAAAGAATTCGATCAGATTGATTCAGAGTAGCAGAATGGATGGACATGACATGACATACCGGTAGCAATAGTTTGGCGCCGACCACACGGTCAAAACGGTTTCATTGAAATGCCATTTGAACCCCTCCATGACCAGCTGATGGGCCCTACATATCATATCGATCTCGTTGGTCCTGTTAAACTGCGAGACAACATCCGAGCCGAAGAGGTAGCCGGCACCGCGTGGTGATACACCCCAGCCGGTTTGATCTTCGGGATCGCTCCATAGCAGATCGCACATGGGCCCGTCGTGGGGTACCTCCTGCTTGCGATCGATGCTACGGATCTGATCCAAATACTGAATGGAGGGCGAGAGTCCGCCGTGGACGCAGAATATCTTGCCGTCAATGATGGCCGACAGGCTGAGGTAGTCAAAGATCTCCGTGCAGTAGCGCCACACGGCTGTGGAGCCATATTTGCGAAGACACTCATCGTAGAAGCCATACACCTGGGTGATCTGGCGAGATTCGTGATTGCCGCGTATCAATGTGATGCGATCCGGATAGCGCACTTTAAGGGCCAGCAGGAGCAGGAATGTTTCAACGCTGTAGTACCCACGGTCCACAAAGTCACCCATGAATAGGTAGTTCTTCTCGGGCACATCGCCGCCCACCTTGAACAGCTCCTTCAAATCGTAGAACTGGCCGTGTATGTCACCGCACACCGTCACTGGGGAGTCCACACGCTGTACGTTACCCTCCTCAACGAGAATTTCGCGAGCCTTGGCGCACAAGCCCTTCACCTCATTCTCTTTGATGATTTCACAGCGTTTCAGTTGCTCAATTTGGCGGTCCAAGTCGCTGTAGTCCGACATTTTGCTGCCGTTGGGGGGGTTGGCGTCGGCGTCTGCGGGAATGAGTGGTATCAGTCACGGCACAGGCACAGGCGTCCCTGGGTTATGGCGCTCTCTTTCCGGGGCTGTTAAATGCAATAGAATATTAATACATTTTCAAGTTAGTCTTTTAATTGTTTGTATTTCGGTTTTTGCATGCGCCAAGAGTGTATGAGTGTCGTGTGTATGTGCGTCTGTGCGTTTCGTTGTGTGTGTGGCTTGTCATTGGCATTTTTGCCGCGCGCGGGCCACAACCGTGCATCCTCGACCTTTCCCATATATACTTGATCATAATACGTTTTGCAAGTAGCACTTACAGTTGCGCGGAGCAATCTCAACAATCCTTTTATTGTTGTTTGGCTGTGGGAACTCGCACTCACGTTCTTGTAAAAAAAATGAACATTAACTTTTTGTCAGCAACGAGTTGTCAAACCAAAGAGGGCACTATCGATAGTATCGATATTTTGCTGCTAGCCTCTACTATCGATGGTTTTAAGACTATCATGATAGAGTCGAGCAACAGTCGTTGCGCTTTTGATATGTTTGGATTGGCTGCTATAAAATACAAAGACAAATTTGTAAACAAATCGACAGGTGGAATCTAATTTTTACAATGGACAAGTTTCTAAAAGGTTTCCATGGTTTATAATTATTATTTTCGCCCGATACTGTTACGATAGTATCGATTTTTTTTTCAAAACATTCAAAACTATCGATGACTTAATTATCAATCGTTTCACAGCTCTATTTTGTCAGCAACGAGTTGTCAACAGTATGACCGGTGACGATAAAGATAAAAAAAATACCCGTCTGACCATCAAAAATATACCGAAATTACTCTCTCCTTTACATATTATACCGTAAATATACTGACGGGTCAACAAAAATGTCCGATTTTTACGTGGTAACTACACGGTAGCTGTATGTATGTATACATGTATACAACCATGTATACTGTATGGTTAGTGACGGTAGCTACACAGTAACTACACGTGTGTTACATATCAACGACTTATTTGTGGTACAACCATACATATCAATAGTTACACATCGATACTTTGTCGGTAAAAAGCCGATGTTCCGGTTATTTTTCTCGTTCCAAGTTCCATATAAAATGCCTTGCACCAGACAATTAGATGCAATTGTGAAATTGTTGTGCCACCAAGCGCCTGCGTTTACGTTTAAGTGGGAAAGTGAAATAGATCCATTTGTCACATTGCCATGTCCAGCTTTGGAGCCGACGTTGACAAGGTTTGGCCAACTGTTGCGGGCGATTCCCAAACGCTGACTAAGTTCGGTCGAAAGCTGCTTGAGAAATGCCGAGATTTGAAGAAACCCGTTGGCGGACCCGTTGATATAGATGACTTTATAAACAGATCCAGAGAATTTCCCCTTCCGGTATGTTGCTGGCACTTACGTTTTGCATACTCAATTCTAATCCCCCGTGTACCCTGTATAGTTTGGCGTTGAGAGTGTGCGGGTTAATAGACAGCCGACGGCACGACATGCACGCATTGCCAGCCAAATCTCCTCCGTCTATCCGGTGAGACATGAGCGCACTTTGGGATTCCATCTGCAGATCTAGAGCACAAGTGTCAATGGGGTAAGCATGTTGCAAGCGCTCCCAATGCCTCACGTTGTTAAATCTGTCGCCTCTATGCTAGGAAACTCTGTGCAGCGACCTGTCTACCAGCAGCTCTCCCTCTGCGGATTCGTGCAGCGGCTGCTGGAGAAGCGTTGTGCCAGCTTCTTTGCTCGCAACGATAAGTTCTTGCTGCTGACTGGCGAGAGTGGAGCTAGCGGCTTTGAGCCCATCGGCAGCGCAGAGGAGAAGGCTCCGCTTGTCTTGGAACACGTTCTCAGCTACGATGACGTCAAGCTGTCCGCCCTGCTGTCGGTCAGCTCGCACACGGAGTTCATCAACGAAGGTGAGCGGGCCAATTGTGGTCGGGTTACCCAAGATCGTCGGGCATTGGAGCCCGAAGGTGTCATTATGGGTCTCATTGGGGCCCGGCTATCGCGCCGCAATCTGATGGAGTTCCAGGACATTGTCATCGCGCGCACACAGAACACGCCAGAGAATGGCTATGGCATGGACCTGGATGTGCCGACCTCAAACCAGGCCGAGGTATTGCCGCCTCTGGCGAAACTTCTACGAGACGCGAGACTGTCTGTACGCCGATGTCAGCATTGACAATCGGCGCTTTGCGTCTCGAGGAACAAGCAGGACATCTTCGACAATCTGGTGATGAAGCGGCGCTATGCCATAAGCTTTGACATGCTGCTGCTGGAGGCCCAGGCACGTGCTCGAGAGGCCGGCAAGCAGGCCTACATTCATGTCGTTGGTTTCGGTTCGGGGTGCTGGAAAGTGGCCCAGCAGCAGGAGCGCATCTTTCTGGAGACCTTCGAGCAGCGCCTCCGCGAGCTGGGCAAGCGTTTCACCCACATCGGTGTGGTGCACTTCTCCTTGGTTCAGCCTCACCAATTGCGGCGGATTGCACAATGGCGCCATCATCAAGACCGACGACCATCCAGCGGACGGCATTCGTGTGCACATCTCCAAACGAAATCCAGCCGAGAAGCTGTCCACTCCGGAGCACGCTAATATGCTGTTGGTGGTCTCCTATGCCTGGGACGGCAATGCCTGCCGGGAAATGAGTTCTGGATGGTAGGTGTACCGCTCGCAATACTCCACCCACTCCCCCATCCGCACTCTAAGCTTATTTCATCCATTATCCATTTGTAGAAAATGCTCAAGTCCACGGGCGATTCATCAACGGCATGTTCAACGCTCATCACGGAGCTGCACAATCCGCACATCAACACCGAGTACTGCAATGGCAACAATCTACACATCGCCTCGCCGGACCTGGGTGTCCTTCACATAGCGGAGTATGCCAGGCATGTTCTAAAGAAAAACAGCAACGACGACAGCCACGCTGATGATTGATGGCGGTCATTGAGCGAAGGAAGAAGTCCCAGAGAATCTTCTTGCGACTGGCTGTTATTGCTTAGTCTGCGAGTATCTCTTTGCTATCTAATCTTATCTAATCGTTGTGCATGTTAGTTGTGGGTACTACAGCAAATGCTGTAGGTCAACTCCATGACCTCTCTTTGACATTCATTTGAGCAACTTTCATGTTTTATGTATGTATATATGTATAAAAAAATGTATTAAAATGCCAGAATACAATTCAATTTACAAGCTGTGACCGAGTTTGCTGATCCAACTGAGGCCCTCGACCGTCGTTGTCTTTGGCTTGTATTCACAGCCAATCCAGCCATCGTAGCCGAATTCACGCAGCCGCTTGAACACGTAGTCGTAGTTGAGTTCGCCGGCAGTGTCCGGTTCGTGTCGATGGGGTACCTGGGCAATCTGGAAGTGACCAATCTGACTCTTGTACTCCTCCAGCGTCTTTGTCACATTGCCGTGGATGTGCTGGAGGTGATAGAGGTCGGCAAGCAGCTTAATGTTGTCGGCCCCCATTAGTAAGCACGCCCGCTGCCGTCACATACGAGTTCATGAAATAGCCGGGTACGGCATACTTGTTAATTGGCTCTATCACGCCGATCATCTGGTTCGCCCTGAGGCTATCAGCCGCGATCTTCAGATTCGATGTGTATGTTTTTTTGTAGTCAGTCTCCTGGCCCTTGGTGAGCAGTCCAGAGGTCAGGTGGATCTTTTTACAGTTCACATCCTTGGCAAAGTCAATCGTCTCGTTCAGCTGCTTCTGGAACAGTCCCTCCGCCCCGGGAACGCTCGTTGAGCCAAACCGCAGCTGATCGCTGGTCTTATCAAAGGCCAGATTGACCAGGCTGACCACAATTCCGGTCTCACGGATTGCCGACACAACGTCCCGAGTCTCACCCTCGGGATGGGGGACTCCACAGCCCGAAATCCGCTCTGGTGGGCCAGCTGAATGCGTTCCGCAATTGTGGTCGCCTTCTCGGTGAAGAGGAAATTCAAGTTAGCTGCGAACTTAAGTGCCATTCTCGGTGCGCGGTTCGTTTACGACTGATTCTGATTATACATATCAGTGTACGATTTCATTTAAAAGTAAAAAATAAAAAAGCTTTTTCCACAGTCAATGTCATCTGGTCAGTGTTGCCCATTTAGCTAGTTTCTCTGTAGTTATATTTTTGCCATATTTTCGCAGCTCGGAATGCAGGACAAATTTTATTCCAGCAGCTAATGGCACTATATCTACTTTGAAAGTTATGTTATTTCTGGATTTAAAAAAAACCAATCCATTGAAACATAAAATTCCTAATTATATATATGCATACTCATACTCTTTAGAACATTAGAGTGTTAGAGTAAGCCATTAACATACGTTAAGATCGGTTAGGACGGAAAAGCTAATCTTCTGTTTCTTGTGCAAATGTCCACTAACGCCCAAGGACAAAATCCAAATTTTTGAAAATCATGCGGTGCCCAGCTACTCACGTGACACGAAAACAAACACGGTAGGCCTTTAGCCTACCGCCATTTTTTATTTTTTTTTTGCTTGTATTCGTTTCTTGGTGCTACCGGCTTCTAGAGATGAGCATGGATTGCAGTGGATGGGAACCAACACGGCACAAAAATACAAATTTCAAACACGCATGGTAAAAATTTTTACGAACTAAGTCCAACATGAAACATCATAATTTAATAATATAATAACTTATAACGGCTATTTGAAAATTGTTTAAGCTCTTTCATTAAAAAATATGTAATCCCATAAATAAGCTAAAGTGGCACCACTGGTGTTGTCTGCTAGAGAGAGAGCATGAATGCTTTCCCAAGACCCAGGCTATAAAAGGCACAGCGGACGGAAAACATTTTTCCGTTCCGTTCCCAGACCCATTTATTTGGTTGAGCGAATTGTCTCTTCGAGAGCATTTCTATAATTTTCTTACAGAAAATTGTCCAATATCTTGTTAGTATATATGGGACACATTTCTTTATTTATAAGTAAGAAAGAGAGTCGACCTGGAGCTGATGAGTTCTATGACAGCGAGCGCCAATCAGAGATCGCTTGAGGCTTGGCTGCATTTTCCCCACACAAGACTCGCTGAATCTTGCAATGCCAGAATTGGCGCACCACCATATTTAGGTGGGATATGGGGCTGGTTGCCTGCCACAGTTCCGTTTGCCCTTCAAAATCGAAATATTCTATGATTTCTAGCAATGACTCATACAGTTTGGATTTTCGAAAAGTCTGTATTCACGATTGTCGATTTCCTTATCTAGGGATAATGCACTACCAGCGTAATTTTAAATTTCAATCTCGTTTCCCCGCTCCATGTGGTTTTTTTTTGGGGTGAGGCAAATTGCTCCAAAATATTGATGGATTCGAATACAAATCTAATCGTCGCTAGTAGATGAATTTTCGTTCTTCGCTAGATGAATCGCCTCTAGTATGATCGATTACATAATATAAGAGTTTTCAGGGGTTTTCGCAGTCTGAATTCAGACTGAGCACAAAAAAAAGTTTATAGAACCAAAATTGTGAAAGTGGGAAAATAAAAATAAAACAAAATAAACAGCTGTGGCTGTCCTCTTAAAATTAATCTGGATAGCATTCCAGCCTCCAGTCTAAGGCAATCTGCAGCTAATCGCTGCACTTTAGGTAGTGCCCCAAATGGATTTCCGGCGTTAGTTATTTTTACTTTGAAGACTTAGTCTTTTGTTCAGTTTAACTCCTATGTATTTGAAATAGTATGTTGGTCTTAAAATGTTCCATGTAGGAAGAGTGCTGAACATGTATTTTTATGGGGTGCATTTCGTCTTCACCAAATTTTTGCTTAGCTTTTTATTCAGTTTTAGCTATTTTTTGCTTGTATTGCCTCTAAAATTCCATCATCACTAGGGAGCACCGGTTAACACGCATAACATGGAGATGCGCTGACTCATGAGTTATGACGCGGCTCAAGAGAGCTGAACGCGCTTTGACGCCTTGTTTGATGCGAGAAAGAAGACGGAGAACGGAATATAGAATATGTTTTGTTTTTTTCTTATACTCTTTGCTGCTTTGTGCCGCTGTGAAATATGAAAAATCAAATACTTATCACGAGTAAATATTTAAATATTTCTTATTTCCTAATAATTTTTCATCTGAAAAAAAAATTTCTCCTCTGTGTCAGTCCGCACCTTTTGCAACTTTTTATGCGAATGGGCGGATTTTGGACTTTGGTGCTGGCTACCTACCGGTCAATGAGCTTCCTTCTCACACTCATTATATATATATCCAGATATGTTCTGGATGGCTCAGCCTTTCAGCTGAAAAACAAATTTCACTTCTCTGTCTTTCCGAACGCGTGTTAGACTTCAACAAAATTAAAAAAAAGGGCGGAAGATCACCAATTAAATGAGGATAAGCTGAAAGCTTAGCCTTGCAGCTAAAAAAAAAAACTTCTCTTCTCGTTCTTTCCGAAAACGACACGATATCAATATATGTTTGCTTTTCATTTTCTTATTCGATATTATCTAGTGAAAATCTTTGTATTATATGTATATCCAGATATGTTTTGGATGGCTCAGCCTTTCAGCTGAAAAACAAATTTCACTTCTCTATCTTTCCGAACGCGTATTAGACTTTAACAAAATTTAAAAAAAGGGCGGACGATAACCAATTAAATGAGGATAAGCTGAAAGCTTAGCCTTGCAGATAAAAAACAAATTTCTCTTCTCGTTCTTTCCGAAAACGACACGATATAAATAAATGTTTGCTTTTCATTTTCTTATTCGATATTATCTAGTGAAATTCTTTGTATTATATGTATATCCAGATATGTTCTGGATGGCTCAGCCTTTCAGCTGAAAAACCAATTTCACTTATCTATCTTTCCGAACGCGTATTAGACTTTAACAAAATTTAAAAACAGGGCGGCAGATAACACTAGTCAACACGATTTTTCCTCAAGGAACAAAACGAACTTTTTCTTAAAGATTTGGGGCTTAGAAATGGTTTGATGATATTTTTTTTTTTTCTATGGCAGAACTTTTTTTTAAAGAATTTTTGAAAACTGGTATTTTTTTTTAAAGCTTTTTTCAGAGGTAACGCTTGTTTTTTTCACATAACTCTAGTATCTTACGTCTGGTTGTAAAGAACTTTGCTATTGTAAAGAACTGCCAATTGGGAACAAAGCAAACGAGCAAGGGTTGTACATTTGGTACCTGATCGCGTTCCTTTGTTCCCAATTGGCAGTTGGGCCCGCCGCCTTCAAAAAGGTATTTTTTGTTCATTTTTTCCATTTTTTAGGTTTGGTTAACGAATTTTAGCTCCAAAGTCTCTTAATGAGCGATACCTTAAACGACGCCAAATTAACGCACCTATACACAAAAAAATAGAGGACACAAGATATAATTTTTTTTCGACTTTTCCTGAGTTTTTAAAGTCAAAATTTCGTAAAAAATACCCACAAAAATCATCATTTTTGCATTTCAATGCTTTATATTTCCCAGACGGTAAGCTGAAATCACAAAGTGTTTGGCATCAACTTCTAGCTGCGTCAATTATCTTTTCAAAATAGCTAAGTGCTTGACAACCAGACGTAAGATATTAAAGTTATGTGAAAAAAACTATCGCTACCTCTGAAAAAAGCTTAAAAAAAAAATACCAGACTTCAAAAATTCTTCAAAAAAAAGTTCTGCCATAGAAAAAAAACCATAATTCTTTAAAAAATTTTAAAGCCCCATATCTATCAGAAAAAGTCGGTTTGGATCCTTGAGGGGAAAAAAAGTTCGGTTTTGTCGAGTAGTGTAACCAATTAAATGAGGATAAGCTGAAAGCTTAGCCTTGCAGCTAAAAAACAAATTTCTCTTCTCGTTCTTTTCGAAAACGACACGAAATCAATATATGTTTGCTTTTCATTTTCTTATTCGATATTATCTAGTGAAAATCTTTGTATTATAAGTATATCCAGATATGTTCTGGATGGCTCAGCCTTTCAGCTGAAAAACAAATTTCACTTCTCTGTCTTTCCGAACGCGTATTAGACTTTAACAAAATTAAAAAAAGGGCGGAAGATCACCAATTAAATGAGGATAAGCTAAGCTGAAAGCTTAGCCTTGCAGCTCAAAATAACCAATTAAATGAGGATAAGCTGAAAGCTAAGCCTTGCAGCTAAAAAAAAAAAACTTCCCTTCTCGTTCTTTCCGAAAACGACACGATGTCAATATATGTTTGATTTTCATTTTCTTATTCGATATTATCTAGTGAAAATCTTTGTATAATATGTATATCCAGATATGTTCTGGATGGCTCAGCCTTTCAGCTGAAAAACAAATTTCACTTCTCTGTCTTTCCGAACGCGTATTAGACTTTAACAAAGTTAAAAAAAGGGCGGAAGATAACCAATTAAATGAGGATAAGCTGAAAGCTAAGCCTTGCAGCTAAAAAACAAATTTCTCTTCTCGTTCTTTCCGAAAACGACACGATATCAATAAATGTTTGCTTTTCATTTTCTTATTCGATATTATCTAGTGAAAATCTTTTTATTATATGTGTATCCAGATATGTTCTGGATGGCTCAGCCTTTCAGCTGAAAAACAAATTTCACTTCTCTATCTTTCCGAACGCGTATTGGTCTTTAAAAAAATTAAAAAAAGGGCGGACGATAACCAATTAAATGAGGATAAGCTGAAAGTTTAACCTTGCAGCTAAAAAACAAATTTCTCTTCTCGTTCTTTCCGAAAACGACACGATATCAATATCTGTTTGCTTTTCATTTTCTTATTCGATATTATCTAGTGAAAATCTTTGTATTATAAGTATATCCAGATATGTTCTGGATGGCTCAGCCTTTCAGCTGAAAAACCAATTTCACTTCTCTATCTTTCCGAACGCGTATTAGACTTAAACAAAATTTAAAAAAAGGGCGGCAGATAACCAATTAAATGAGGATAAGCTGAAAGCTTATTCTTGCAGCTAAAAAACAAATTTCTCTTCTCGTTCTTTCCGAAAACGACACGATATCAATAAATGTTTGCTTTTCATTTTCTTATTCGATATTATCTAGTGAAAATCTTTGTATTATATGTGTATCCAGATAT